GAGTTGGCCACTGAAGTTGGCAGCCTTTCTGATTTCCCCCTGAAGGAACTAAAGGCTGGCTGATGAAAATGATGGCCTTTTAGTTCAGGTTATTTGGCTGCTGCACTCAGAATAGGAGGGATTTGGGGAGCAGGCTATGGTAAAACCCCTGGAGGGCATCTGGAAGAAGGAGGGGGAGCACCTAGATTCGGAGTGACAGTTGTTCAAAAAGTCTTTTCAGAACCTGGCATAAAAGGCACAGGACTTCTTCTTTTTTTAATGTACCTCCATGACAACCTGAATTTGAAAGGACGATTTATTGGTGCAGCAATTTCTCTACGCGCTCGGATAAATCTCTGTGTTGCGTAATGTTCTTCCTGTCCTCGGTGCTTGGGAAATTAAAGATGCTCAGGGTGAGGTGGGGGAGGAATTTGCACAATTATGGAGTCTGAGTACAAATTCCAGTCATGTGTAGCCCCCCCCCATAATATTTATACTTCAAGTTTCTCCACCGCTATCTCTAATTAGGCTTGCAAGCTTAATTATTTCCTGTAATGTGGCAAACTCCGAACAGAGCACTGGGATACATGCCCGGTTCTCTTTGAACGAAGAAAACTCATTGCCGACATTATCTTGCAGTTTTCCCAGGCTACCGGAAAATTGCAATGGTTCCCATTTTACAGACTGGGGAAATGAGGCTGTGCATGAGCCCCTTGTATACATAGGTAAAGGTAAAAGGACCCCTGACCATTAGGTCCAGTCATGGCCAACTCTGGGGTTGCGGCGCTCATCTCGCTTTATTGGCCGAGGGAGCCGGCGTACAGCTTCCGGGTCATGTGGTCAGCATGACTAAGCCACTTCTGGTGAACCAGAGCAGCGCACGGAAACACCGTTTACCTTCCCGGCGGAGCGGTACCTATTTATCTACTTGCACTGACGTGCTTTCGAACTGCTAGGTTGGCAGGAGCAGGGACCAAGCAATGGGAGCTCACCCCGTCGTGGGGATTTGAACCGCCGACCTTCTGATCAGCAAGTCCTAGGCTCTGTGGTTTAACCCACAACATACTTAGTCTCTAAACACGTACCCTCCAAGTGTCCCGATTTTCCGGGGACAATCCCAAAATTACAAAAGCCAACCTGGCTTCTGGTTTGATCCTGGAATATTCCTATTTTCCCCGCCAGTGTCACCACTGCCGAACTTAGGGAGGAGGTGCAGCCGGCGCATCTCCCAATCTATGGCAGCTGCAGCTGCGAGGGAGCGTCCCATTGCCTCTCCATGACTTCTCCGTGGCCACTGTGGCATCTTGTAGCAACTGCTGGGGAGCAGGCGAGGAGCAGGGGCAGAGGAAGGGGGTGCGGTGGGGGCGGAGCGCCCCAGGTGTCTTCACTGAGGGGGGGTGACATTTGGCATGCTGCCCGCCTGCGACTCCCAAGCCTACCCCGAGCTATCGGGGGAAGGGGCGGAGCTGTGCCACCTTGCCAGTGGCCTTCCCCCCTTCCCCCTTTGTTTTGACAGCTCAGGGGAGGCTTGGGAGTCGCTGGTGGGTGGTGCGCCGTTGCCCCTCACTCCCAGGCTGCTTCCTGGGGGAGAGCCTCCCCCAAGCTGTCAAAAGGAAGAGGGAAGGAAGGAAGGCTGCTGGCAAAGCGGCGCAGCTCTCCCCTGCCCAAGAAGCAGCCTGCCATGGGCGGCTCGCCCTGCCCCCCCAGGATGCTTGCCCCACCCCCATGGCCCCGCCCCCAGGTGCACAGCATGTGAGCCGCTCCAGGTGCCGGAGCAGCTAGCTCCACCTCTGATGATGAGGAGAAGACGCTGCTACCACCAAGGAGCAGTCCTGCATCTCTGAGAGGGAGGCAGAGGGCAGGGCTATTCTGGGCAGAATGAAAGGTGGAACGTGGAGCAAAGAGTCTTGGTTGTTTTCTAATAAAATGCTTTGTGTGTCTACATCTAATCTTGCCCTTGATAAGATTTATTTACAGTGGTACCTTGGGTTACAGACGCTTCAGGTTACAGACTCCGCTAACCCAGAAATAGTACTTCGGGTAAGAACTTTGCTTCGGGGCGAGAACAGAAATCACGTCAGCGGCGTGCGCTGTGCAGCAGAGGAGCCCCTTTAGCTAAATAAGTGGTGGGGCGCTCCAGCTAATTCGAACAGTTTCTAGGTTTAAGCAACCGGACCTCCGGAACAGAGCCGCGCGTGGCGCAGGAGGCCCATTGTAGTGCTTCAGCTTAAGAACAGTTTCAGGTAAGAACGACTCGGAGAGCCAGGGTGGTGTAGTGGTTAAGAGCGGTAGACTCGTAATTGGTTGAACCGGTTCGTGTCTCCGCTCCTCCACATGCAGTGCTGGGGTGACTTGCGCTAGTACACTTCTCTGTAGTCTCTCAGCCCCACTCACCTCACAGAGTGTTTTGTTGTGGGGAGGAAGGGAAGGAGAACGTTAGCCGCTTTGAGACCCTCCTTCGGGTAGTGATAAAGCGGGATATCAAATCCAAATTCTTCTTCTTCTTCTTCTTCAACAAGCTAATACACCTCGCATCTTACAAGGGAAGCTGCGACATTGGCAGCACGATGGATCATTCATTTCTCTCTCTCTCCACTGTGCCTCCCCACCCCCACCCCATCATTTGAACTAATCAATGGCTTTATTTCACGCCACTTCGCCTGCTCCTTCCCTCTCTCCTCGCTTCTAATGATGTTCGCAATCGGTCCCATTAATCCCCAGTAACTCGCTTGGTTCTTGCACAGCCGCCGCGTCCGCTTCCCCTCCTGTTTCAAGTAATTGGGCTGGCTGATTTACGGCTTGCCAAGTTCCTCTCTTCAAAGGGGAACCCAGGCTCCCCAAGCCAAACATGAATTTCGGGAAATTTACACGATAAGGTCCCAATCTGCACAGAACTCTTGAAGGTCAGCTGGAATAATCCACAACTGTGCTCTAGGTTTTTTTATAGACCAACCTTTGGCAGTATGGTGTAGTGGTTAGAGTGGGGGGGGATGGGACCTGGCAGACCAGAGATCAAATCCCTACACAGCTATGAAATGCATTGGGTTCCCTTGCGGGCAACTCCCTGCCTCTCTGTCTAACCACCTCACAAGGCTGTTGTGAAGATAAAATAGGAAGAGGGGGAATTGTGTACACTGACTGGAGCTCCTTGGAGGAAAGGCAGGATAGGAATGTAATAATAATAATAATAATATACCTGAGGCCCTTTGGGTGTTTGGGTCTGCAATTCCCATTGGCATGGAGAAAAGGAAGGAAGATGTTGGTGACCGTTTTGAGTTCTTACTTGCCATTCACCAGAGAACAGGTTGCAACAATTTAAAACCTACTTGTGCTGGTCCCTGGGGTTTACTGTGCGGCGTGGTCCAAGTCCAGTCCGAGGTCAAGGGTGTGGTATGGAGGCTGTCCGTCAAGGCTGAAGGAGTCGGGTGTGTTCAGGAACTCTGGCAGAAGAGCAGGACAAGGTGCCGGCAGGAACAGGTTACCAACAATGTTGCTCCCGCAACCTGGGACTGGGCTGGCTGGCTTTTATCTGCCCCGAGGCATAGGGCGGCCCCGGTCCACAGGTGACTCGCCTCTCCTGGCCTGGAGGCGAGCACTCCTCCTGCAGGAACTTAGTTCCCTCCGCCCCTCTGCCCTGAGCCTCTGCAGCTCAGGAGAGGCTGGAGGGTTACTGGACCCAGAGGCAACCTCACCTTCCCCTGACAGGGCTGGGAGAGGAGCACCTGCAGGCAATGGGTCCTCGATTACCTCTGGAGCCAGAGCAAATTCAGCTGGTGTCTGCTCCTGAGGATCCGGCACAGGTGAGGGCCCTTCAGATTCAAGCCCCAGCCCCGGCTCAGTCTGTCCTGGAAGCGGGGACTCCTGTGCAGGCTAAGATTCCTCAGGTTCAGCCTCTGAATCTGATTCCCAGGCCATCACACTACTATTAAAAGCAGCTTAAAACAATGACAATCACAGGAATAGGGTGGTTCCTGAAATTATACGTCTAAGGTGTAAAAGGATGCATCTTTTGCATATGATGGGGACTTTATATTGAAGGTGGGAGATGCCCTTCCATGGGGTGGGAGTTCCACAGGCTAGGGGCTGCCACCACGAAGGTCCTCTCCTGGGCTGCCACTCCCTGAGCTTTGGAGGGTGCTGGGACTTCCAAGAACGCCCTCTCTGCTGATCTCTGTGTGGGATGTAACATAAGCAGTCAAGTACAACACTTCCTGTTTGCCCAGAGTGGACACACAGGGGGATGTTACCCCAGCCAGGAGGACTTCCTCTCCCACCTGTCTGGAGCATCCTCCCCCGCGTGTGACCAGGTAGATGGGTGTGACCCTGGCGGACCCCATAAAAAGGCTGGTCACGCAGCCATCGTCCTCTTGACTCTCCAACTTCTTGATGCTCTTGATACTCTTGTACATGGGCTCAGTCCCCATATGGGATGAACTCTCTTCTGTAACTACAAGCTAAAGCTTGCCTTCAGGGTACCTACTGTGAACTGAATGTAAGTAAACTTCTTATCATCACTTTTAAAGAAGACTGTTGTGTCTTTATTCTTTTTAAGAGGGAACAAAGGGGATTTACCAGGAACAAACCCATTATGGACAAGCCAGATTGGATTGCTTAACTCAAGAGATTCAGACGAATCGACCAACTAGCTTCCTGCAATATACAAGGGAATGTACTCTGCTACCAGTTCACTAGTGTGAGTGAGGAAGGATAATATTTAAATCAATATATCCTCTCCTACTATCCACCACATTCCCACACTCAACTCCTGAGAGGGTCTGTAGAGAAGGAGGTCCTCCTTCAGATATTCAGGACCTAAATTAATGGTGTATTTCACAACTGAAGTAATGCACACTGGACATTTAAAGTGTTGTGGGGCAGAGAAAGAAGATGATTAATCCCAGGGTCTGAAGTTACTTAAATATGTAACTCAACAAAACAAGTCATTTGTGTTGTTTTCAAGATATATATACATATATATTCTACGAATTGGTTATTTGATCATCAGGGACCGAACGGCAGGTTTATTTCTTGAAGATGGTCTTGTAAATCCATTTTTGGAAGTTGGAGACAGCCGTGTAGACACCTGGGTATCTGGGGCTGGCGCAGCTGTGGCCCCAGGAAACGATCCCAAAAACACGCCCTTCACACACTAAGGGGCCCCCAGAATCGCCCTGGTGGGAGAAAGAATCAGGGGGTGGAAACACAGTGAAGAGAATTAGCATTAAAGCTTTGTCAAAGCAGCTGCTAATATCCATTGGTTGTTTATATTAAAAAGCAAACTACATTTTTAAAAAGTAATTTCACAAAGCTCTTTTAAAGTCTCGACCCATCCCCAGCTGGTCCCTGTTGGAAGCATAACACTCAAAAGGAAGAGTGGCATGTTTTAGGATCCAGTTGCTGGAATAGCCAGACAGGTTTCTTGGGAGCGGCTCCTAGGTATGGGCCATTAAGGTAACAAAGGAAGTGGCTCTTTGCCAGAGGACAAATGGGTGGGCCCCCTCTCTCAACTAGCCCTTAGCTGGTCTGACTTAAGGTGTGCATGAGAGCTAGAAGCAGGCGGAAAACAGAGAGGCAGAGACATGCTTAGTTTCTGCTTGAACTCAAGGCTGCAGCTCTGGGAGAAGCAAGACCTTATTGGGGTGTTAACATTGTGAAAGGTAGAAAGGCAAAATCAGTGGTGTGTGTGTGTGTGTAAAAAACGTAAACACAAAGGATCCCTGGATGGTTAAGTCCAGTCAAAGACGACTAGGGGGTTGCGGCACTTATCTTGCTTTCTGGCCGAGGGAGCCAACATTTGTCCACAGACAGCTTTCCGAGTCATGTGGCCAGCATGACTAAACCGCTTCTGGTGCAATCACGTTTACTTTCCTGCTGCAGCAGTACCTATTCATCTAAGTGGTACCTCGGGTTACATAAACTTCAGGTTAAATACGCTTCAGGTTACAGACTCTGCTAACCCAGAAATAGTGCTTCAGGTTAAGAACTTTGCTTCAGGATGAGAACAGAAATCGTGCTCCAGCAGCGGGAGGCCCCATTAGCTAAAGTAGTGCTTCAGGTTAAGAACAGTTTCAGGTTAAGTACGGACCTCCGGAATGAATTAAGTACTTAACCCGAGGTACCACTGTACTTGCACTGGCGTGCTTTCGAACTGCTAGGTTGGCAGGAGCTGGGGCAGAGCAACAGGAGCTCACCCCGCCGCGGGGATTCAAACCACCGACCTTCTGATCGGCAAGCCCAAGAGGCTCAGTGGTTTAGACCACAGCACCACCCACGTTCTTTACTTTTACCTTTGTGTGTGTACTAGAAGCTAGAAGGAGGCTGCAGGCTGGGCAGTTGAGTGACAAAGGCATGCCTGATTTCTGCTGGATACAAAGGCTGTGGCTATGGGAGAAGGAAGACCCTCTTGCATTTGGGGTGCTAATGCTGTGAGCTCCTCTATTGTAGGTTCGGGTTGTATATATTTGGGGTGGCGTGCAACAATATGTGTCTAGGTGCATGACTGAGCATGGAAGCGTGCAGTCGTCTCCTCCAAAATTTAATTGATATGAAAGAGGAAGGGGGGTGAACCCCAAAGAACAGCAACATCATCAGCTCTCTCAAAGAACATTTCAAGAAGGGATCCCCCAACCCGTCAAAGACAAGAACAGCAATTTATGGGCAACCAGGAAAACTGGGACTGATAAAGCAGGAAGCATTGGATTATCTGCCCTTGGAATTAAGCCCTTCTCAAATAAAGATGAATCACAGCTGAAGGAGAAATGCAGAAGGTGGGCAGCAGGGAAAGGTTTATTTCTGAAAGGCACAGAGTGGGGGGTGATTCAATCAACCCAGCCACCATTCTGGAAGATAACAGGAAAGTACAGTACAGGGTGGGGCGAACCCTCTTTCATATCCAAAAACCCAGGGGTGGCATGGAGTGTCCAGCCTATTGGCAGAGAGGGGATGTGACTAGGGAGAGTCTCAAGGGCCAGATAAAGAGAGCTAGAGGGCCACATTTGGCTATCAGGCTTGAGAACATAAGGAGAGTCTGCAAGATCAGGCCAATGGACCAGCTAGTCTAGCCTCCTAGAGTAGAGTGTGGACCAGCTAATCTAGCCTCCTAGAGCCAGTGTGGTGTAGTGGTTTAGAGCAGTAGACTCATAATCTGGGGAACCGGGTTCGCTTCCCTGCTCCTCCACCTGCAGCTGCTGGGTGACCTTGGGCCAGTCACACTTCTCTGAAGTCTCTCAGCCCCACTCACCTCACAGAGTGTTTGTTGTGGGGGAGGAAGGGAAAGGAGAATGTTAGCCGCTTTGAGACTCCTTCGGGTAGTGATAAAGCGGGATATCAAATCCAAACTCTTCTTCTTCTTCCTGTTCTCACAGAAGCCACCCAGATGCCTGCAGGAAACCCGTAAGCAGGATTCGAACCCAAGAGCCCTCTCCCCTCCTGTGGTTTCCAGCAATTGCTATTCAGGAAGTGTTACTGCCTCTGACTGAGATCCCAACCCCGTCCTCCCAGCGCTAAGCTGATCAGTTTTCCGAAGAGGCGTTTAGTCTTCCGAACTTCCTCTGCTAAACGGACACCGGTGTTTACCTGGCAGGCATCTTTCCCCCCGGTGTTGAACCCGGCGCAGATCATGTTCCTGGTGATGTACCCGGCGTACGAAGAGGAGCTGTTGCACTTCCACGTGGAGATGATGGGGAGGTGGACACTGCGCAGAGTGTCCGACGTCCTGCCCCCGATGGGAGTGGTGTAACCCCAACCAGAGACTTGGCAGAAACGTCCGTCCCGGACTGTGGCTCCTTGCTGGGGAAGGGGCACGATGGAGACAAAGGGGCTGTAGGCCACCGGCCGGTTCAGCTGTTTGAAGACATCAAGGGATGGGGGTGGGGGCAGGTCACTTATCCATCAATTCAATCTCACACGGATGCAGACCCTCCAGTTTAGGCCGGTGGTGCCAATGGTTGGCATGCTCAGGTGTATGCAAAGAACCCACACCTGAGCAGCAGCTCCATTGACCTCTTTCATCATTGCAACATTCTCACACAGTTGCCATTTGCTCAAGTCCAGACACTGGTGCAGCATCAGACAAAGAAGGATTGGCAGGTGCCACTGCCTGATTGCTCATTGACTTTTTTTAATTTTTATTTTTAAATGGTATTTATTGAGTTTCCATTTTATAACATATAAAAACAATCTTTGTTTTTTCACATAAACTCAAGCTCATTTGAGCTCATCGACTTCCCCCTTCCCACCCGATGGTTACTTTATTTATTTGCTATCTCATCACATTTCTAATTTTCCCCTTTTCCCATTGTCCTATTTAATTTGTCTGTAAAAAGGTAAAATTTTCATCCTTATAAGCCTTTTCAAATCATTCCTGCCAATGTTGTTAACTGTTTACAATTGTCCTTCAAATATTGTATAAATTTCCCCCAATATTTTTGGAAAGCTTGATCTCGCTGGGTTTGGATTTTCCCGGTCAGCTTCGCCATATTCCATCATCTTCGTCTGCCACTCTTCAATTGTTGGTAACTCCTGTTGTTTCCATTTTGGGGCTATTAAAATTTTTGCTGCAGTGGTTGCATGCATAAATATTTTTTGATCTCTTTTAGGAATTTCTTCCCCTACTATACCCAGTAAAAACACTTCTGGTTTTTTAAAAAGTGTGTGTGTGTATTATTATATATCAAATCTCAGAAGGTTTTCATGTCCACCACATATGGTAAAAATTTCCTTCTTTTTCTTTACATTTCCAACATTCCTTGTTTTTCATTTTATACATTTTAGTAAGTTTTGTTGGCGTTAACTACCGCCTATACATCATTTTCATAATATTTTCTTTCAATGCACTGCAGGCTGTAAATTTAATGCTTGCTCATTGACTCTTTGCCCAGCACTGATGCGTTGAATTGTTTTTTGAAACAGAAGTTATACTGTTACATGCAGCCTGTTACAATGCGTGTGTCGTTACCAGCGAGCAAGCTGGCAAAAACCATGTGGAGGCAGAAGAAGAGGAACAGCTGTGATAACAAGGGTATTATAGATTTAGGAGGGGACCCCCCCAAAAAAAACTGTAGAAATGAATAAATGCTAGGATTTTGATTCATTGGCATATTGACGCAGGCCTGGCCAGGACGCCTTCTGGGCTTCATGAGGCCAGGAAAGCTGAGATACATGTGGATTTGTTTACATGTGCACATGCACCTTTTGTGATCTACCATGCTTGCACAAAACTAAAAATAAGCGATGCCTCACTCCAACGTAGGTAAGGATTTGGAGCTGTTCACATGAAAGGCTGCCCATCGTTTCATTTCCTCCCCCTTCCCTCCCCAGCTCAGCAGCTTTGATTTCCTAAAAAAAGCTGAACAACTTTGTCTGCCATTCCCCAAAATCCTGGCTATGCCCATGGCTGGTGTCTCTCCGTTTTCTTTGTTTTTCAGTGCCCCATATAACTGCAGTTTTAAAAAGTCACCGTTTTCAAAGATCTGGTCGGCAGGTTGTGGATCCTGGCCCACCTGGGCATCCCCTCCATAACTGCAGCTGAAACTTTCCCTTCCTTTCAATCCTGACCCTGTTCTGACACCCAGGAAGATTTTGTTACCTTGATAAGCATGATGTCTGCATTTTTGGAAGTGGCGCTGTAGTCTGGATGGACCACCATGCGGGCAGGTCGGAAGATCTGCTCCGTGCCTTCAAATGTGGAAAGCGAATATTCCCCGGCTACAATCAGCATCTGGTGGATTCTGAAAGAGGAGCAAGAAAACGGGATGAGGGTGGATTTATCGCAAACATGTCAGATTTGGGTTAGGCAGGGGTCTATTATGCAGGATTGTCAGATCTTGATATGTCTCTGGGCTTACCGCAGCTGGGTAGTGTAGTAACCTCTCCAGAACCATATAAGACAGTAGTTAATTTGTAGGAAGAGCTTTGCTGTAAAACTGGCAACAGGGGGAGAAATCTGGCTAAAAGCTGTCCACTGCCCCTTTTCTTGGGTTTCCTCCTCTATCCACCTGCCGCTTCATGCTCCTTTCCCATTAAATTACTACTCTACAAAATTTTCCTTCAGCCACTGATACAGAAAAAATACGGGTGGTTGGCTTTTGCTGCCCAACTCCCCAAGGGACTGAGTCTCCTAAGTCCATGATCGGTCAGAGATGAATGGATGGAGGCAGGATGCAATGAAAGCAAGGCAGATCTTTATACTACTATTACCAATAATAATTTATTACTTATACCCTGCCCATCTGGCTGGGCTTCCCCAGCCACTCTGGGCTGCTTCCAACAAAATATTAAAATACAGTAATCCATCAAACATTAAAAGCTTCCCTAAACAGGGCTGCCTTCAGATGTCTTCTAAAAGTCTGGTAGTTGTTTTTCTCTTTGACATCTGGTGGCAGGGCGTTCCACAGGGCAGGTGCCATTACTGAGAAGACCCTCTGCCGGGTTCCCTGGACCTCGGTGTCTGGGTAGAACAATGGGGGTGGAGATGCTCCTTCAGGTATACTGGGCCAAGGCCATTTAGGGCTTTAAAGGTCAGCACCAACACTTTGAATTGTGCTCAGAAACATACTGGGAGCCAATGTAGGTCTTTCAAGACCAGTGTTATGTGGTCTTTGCGGCCGCTCCCAATCACCAGTCTAGCTGCCGCATTCTGGATTAGTTGTAGTTTCCAGGTCACCTTCATAGGTAGCCCCACATAGAACACATTTCAGTAGTCCAAGCGAGAGATAACCGGAGCGTGCACCACTCTGGCGAGACTGTCTGCAGGCAGATAGGGTCTCAGCCTGCGTACCAGATGGAGCTGGTAAACAGCTGCCCTGGACACAGAAATGACCTGCACCTCCATGGACAGCTGTGAGTCCAAAATGACTCCCAGGTTGCGCACCTGGTCCTTTAGGGACACAGTTACCCCATTCAGGACCAGGGAGTCCTCCACACCCGCCCGTCTCCTGTCCCCCCAAAACAGTACTTCTGTCTTGTCAGGATTCAACCTCAATCTGTTAGCCGCCACCCATCCTCCAACCGCCTCCAGGCACTCACACAGGACCTTCACCACCTTCACTTTATTTTTCTGTTGCAACAGAGTTCCCTCCCCAACTAGGAAGGAGGCAAGAGAGACCCAGAACCAAGAAGAAATATCTCTTTCTGCTTTGGATTTCGAACCTTTGACGTGCTTTTGAGTTTGTGCAACGTTTCCAAATCAGTGCTGCCTATTTCTGACCGGCTCCCACCGACCTGTTTGATGCAGGATGCCCGATGGATGGACCTGGAGTGCGTTCAGATGTTCTGCAGTGTGCCTTGGCTCCTTACCCTGTTTTGCAGTGGGCGGCGGTCAGGACCCAGTTCCGACTGATGAGGGCTCCACCACAGAAATGGTACCCTGTATTCCTCTTCAGAGAGACCAGGTACTTGGAAGAGTGGGGTGAAACTATGTAGCCCCCAATGATGCGTTGGGAGTCGCTCGCACCATCTGCAGAGCAGAGGGGAAGAACTGTCATACAATAATCAGAATCTCTGAGGGGACAAAAATCTATACACGAGACCCAGCTCCAACTGAAGGCTACTCCAAATGTACTTTTTAAACTGTACATTTATTACAGTTTGTGGACCTTTATGTGTGATCATTTCAACACAGCTTGGACCTCGCAAAAGCAGATGTAGGGTTGTTGCGCCCAACACCAGTCCTACTCAGAGTAGACCAGTGTTTTTTCTGGGGGGGGGTACTCAGGGGTGCGCTTACCCCTAAACATTTGTGAAACTCTGTACTTTTATCCATTTACTGCATTTATTTCCCCGATTTGAACTATAAAATGGGGGTTTTCTTGAGTCAAAATGAGAGTACCCCTAAACATTTAATTTTTTATAGAAAAAAGCACTGGAATATACCCAGTGAAAATAATGGACATGACCCACTTAGGCCTGGTGACTTCAGTGGGTTAACTCTGAGTGGGACCCATTTTGCTTCATTTCCAATTAGCGCACACCCAATAACTTCCTGCTCTGATCTTGCTACTTTTTAAAACCACAATCATTGCATTTTAGGGTTTTTCTTTGTCTTGTCCTGTATTTGTTGCACTTTTGCAAGATGGCCTCTCCTGACTGGGCAAAAGACTGGGCAAACGTCACTGGTCAACTGGTGTAAAGCAAAATGATGTGTGGGCAGCCCAGTATAAATCTGCTACTAGTGCATTATTATTGTGTCCGTAACATGTTGCAGAATACACGCAACAGCCACCAGTTTGAAGGGACCCCTAGTCTAACCTAGAAGTTTTTATAAGGGTCAGATAGAACCACATGACCTGCTCTGACCTATCATTGTTGAGGCTCCCTAGAGACGTAACTGAAACTGCAACAGATTGTTGCAGCGTGAAGTGCTGCTACTGCTCAGTGTTTCAGCCACTCAGCCAGGCCCTCCCTAGCGTTACTGTTCGCCTCGCTCCCTACCCCCATGCTCATTGAGCATGCTTGGTCCTAACTGGGCTGCTGGGAGTGGGGGAGGTGCCATATCCTTAATTCCTCCTACCCTTGCAATCTTTTCTGGACTTCTGCAAACATCGGGATTTCACACTTGGGCATGGTGCTGCTGTTTTCATCCCATAAGCCAGGAGTTTTCATCCTTTTTGGGTCCACGGCTCCCTTGACCAACTACATTCTTTCTGCAGCACCCTTGTGGGGCCCAGTTATGTCACCCTGTTATGTACTGAGTTGAATAGGACCCAAAATGCAGCAGTCTGATTGGTCCTAGAACAATAGGATCCAAAATGCAGCAGTCTGATTGGTCCTAGAACAATGCAGCAGTATGATTGGTCCGCAGGAGCCACCCAATCCAGCTCCAGGTGGAAGTGAATCCACAACCTGATTGGCCTACAGGAGAATCCCGGAATTAGCCAATCACGTGCAGCCCATTGTGCAAATAATGTACAGTGGTACCTCGCAAGACGAATGCCTCGCAAGACGGAAAACTCGCAAGACGAAAGGGTTTTTGGTTTTTTGAGTTGCTTCGCAAGACGATTTTCCCTATGGGCTTGCTTCGCAAGATGGAAACGTCTTGCAAGTTTATTTCCTTTTTCTTAACACCGTTAATACAGTTGCGACTTGACTTCGAGGAGCCACTCATAGCACGCGGTGTGGTAGCCTTTTTTGAGGTTTTTGAAGACTTTGGTGATTTTTGAAGCTTTTCCAAAACTTTTCCGACACCGTGCTTCACAAGACGAAAAAAATCGCAAGACGACAAAACTCGCGGAACGAATTAATTTCGTCTTGCGAGGCACCACTGTATATAAAGCAGATATTGTGGGGGAACTTCCATTCCTCCAAACCACTATGAGCTGAATAAAGAGCATGAAATCCACTCTCGACTCCAAGTATATTTCACACCCCTTGCCTGCAGAGCTGGCAGCCCCTCACCCCTTTTCAAACACCCTCCCTTGTGGAGTGTTCCCTCAGCCTCCTCTCTTCTCCCCTCTCCTTGGGAGTCCTCTGGGCAGCTGCAGCTGCTGCCCTGGTCTCTGAGCTCCCCTCTCCGGCCCCAAAGAGAGGTGCCTCTTCACACTGCCCCATAGGATCCTGAGAAGCAACCCCTGGCCAGCCCCAGAGGCACCATTCACTTGTGGATTTTGTAGCCAGGGATCCTGCAACAAACAGCAGCACAAGCCTTTGGGAGGCCGAGATGTGAGAGGGCATTGGAGGAGCAAGGGAAGGAAAGAGGGACAGAAGCTAGTACAGTGGTACCTCGGGTTAAGTACTTAATTCATTCTGGAGGTCCGTTCTTAACCTGAAACTGTTCTTAACCTGAGGTACCACTTTAGCTAATGGGGCCTCCTCCTGCTGCCACGCCGCCAGAGCACGATTTCTGTTCTCATCCTGAAGCAAAGTTTTTAACCCGAGGTACTATTTCTGGGTTAGCGGAGTCTGTAACTTGAAGCGTCTGTAACCTAAAGCGTCTGTAACCTGAAGCGTATGTAACCCGAGGTACCACTGTATTGCCCGCAGCACCTCTGACCATCATTCAAGGCACTCCAGGGTGCCACAGCACACTGGTTGAAGACCACTGCCATAAGCAACCACACTTGGAGAATTAGCATATAGGACAGGAAGCTGTTAATAGATAGCCTTAGAGACGCCTCCTCTGACCATCACTGATTACCACACCAGCCATTGCCTCATTCATTCGCTCAGTTTTCAGAGAGAATACAAGGCAGCATTGCTGGCGAATCCATTTTATTCCAGTGTTTTCTGTGTCATTCTCCAGTCTTTCCTCAGACTTGATTCGTGATGATTCACTGCACTGCACCCCACCATTAAAATACAATTTCAGCAGCAGACTGTGAATGTGCTGGTGAGGTTTCTCTCTCCTACTGGCCCTTTAATTAGTCATTTCCTGTTCTCGGTATGTGCCTGCTTTAAAAAGAAAAGAAAATACTGAAAGGCTACCAGTTCCCAATCTCTCTTTTCCACGAATGCCTTGCCATTTAAAGATAATGTTCTTTCTTTTAAAAATCAATTGGCTTTCTGCAGGCAATAGAATATCTGATTGTTCCAGCAAGTTTTTACTGCTGTGAACATTTTATTACTAAACTCTTACTGCCAAGTTTACTGCTGCTTACTTTATGCTCAATTTTATTGGGCTAAAAATTTAAAAGGTTTTATTCTGTTTTCTTCTTTTTAAAAATAATAATAATAATAATTCTGCTATTCTAACTGTTTTGCTCTTCCTACTCTTTTTTTAAAAGTGGGGCGGGAATCACTTCCCTAATCTGGTTCTGGAGTCAAATATAACCCCAGTTAAAAAGACGAAACAAACATTTAGATATGCTTGATAATGGTACCAATATTTTGGGTAAAAATGAAACTGAATTAAGGATGGCTGTTTTGAAAACTGGAATTCAACCATAACAGTATGTTCTGCATCCTGGAAGGGGAAACTTTGCTAGTTTCCTCTCATTATTCAGAGGGGGAAATGATGAGAATCACTCCAACAGGAGGCAGCAATGGGCATTCAACGGATGGCTTTGAAAGATGGTTTGACAAAGTCATGGAAGAGAAGGCTATCCATAACTACACTATGCCTCCAGGGTCAGAGGCAGTAATGCCATCGGATACCAGTTGCTGGAAATTCCAGGAGGGGAGAGTACAGCATTCCTCAAGTTCTGCTCACACGCTTCCCCCAGGTATCTGGTTGGCCACTGTGAAATCTAGATGGACCACTGGCCTGAACCAGCACACCCTTATAGGAAGGAAACCTCCCTCCCATGGAATTTACTTCTGCTTAGACAACACTCAGGGACGCGGGTGGTGTTGTGGGTTAAACCACAGAGCCTAGGACTTGCCAATCAGAAGGTCGGCGGTTCGAATCCCCGTGACGGGGTGAGCTCCCGTTGCTCGGTCCCTGCTCCTGCCAACCTAGCACTTCAAAAGCACATCAAAGTGCAAGTAGATAAATAGGTAACCGCTCCGGCAGGAAGGTAAACGGCGTTTCCGTGCGCTGCTCTGGTTCGCCAGAAGCGGCTTAGTCATGCTGGCCACATGACCTGGAAGCTGTACGCCAGCTCCCTTGGCCAATAAAGCGAGATGAGCGCCGCAACCCCAGAGTCGGTCACAACTGGACCTAATGGTCAGGGGTCCCTTTACCTTTACCTAGACAACACTCAGAATCTTGACTGTTATGTACTAAGCTTGGATCCTAGAACAATAGGCAAGTAGGATCCTAGAATGCAACAAGTGATTGGCCTGCAGGAAAAGACCAATCAGGCTCCAGGAGGGAAGCAGAATCAGCCAATCAGATGGGACTCATTGTGTAAATAATGTATATAAAAGCCTGAGGTTTGGGGGGCAATTCAGTCACTGTTTTACAAGCTGCAATAAAGAGCATAAAATCACAACAGGACTCTTGAGTATGTTTCATTGACCAAAGAGATAGACGTTACCAGATAAAGTAAAACGATCTCAAAGGTCATGTGCAGGGGTCAGCAAACTTTTTCAGCAGGGGGCCAGTCCACTGTCGCTCAGACCTTGTGGGGGGCCGGACTATAATTTGGAAAAAATATATGAATGAATTCCTATGCCCCACAAATAAACCAGAGATGCATCTTAAATAAAAGCACACATTCTATTCATGTAAAAAAATCAGGCAAGCCCCACAAATAACCCAGAGATGCATTTTAAATAAAAGGACACATTCTACTCGTGTAAAAACACGCTGATTCCCGGACCGTCCGCAGGTCGGATTTAGAAGGCAATTGGGCCGGATCCAGCCCCTGGGACTTGGTTTGCCTACCCATGGTCATGTGGAACCACAGTTTTAATTTTCCTTCCAGCTGATTGCGAAAAGGCGACACCTGAGCAGCGCAGTCCTTCTGTGGAGGCAACCAGTGACACCTCTTTTAAATGCACATTTAAGAGTTGCCTTTTTGAAATATGAGTGTACGACTGGAAATTGGAAGAGGAGACTTGTCAGGAAGCAAGAACATCCAAATTTATGTTCTCTGGAGTGGAGATAATTGCTCTGTTATGCAGTGTCACTTTAGTTCGGGGAGGGGGGTTAAAGTGCTTTAAAAAAAAATAACAGGTAATGTGACTTCTTAATCTGCATGTTCTTACACATGCTTAGAATCACAGAACTGTAGAGTTGGAAGGGACCCTAAGGATCATGTAGTCCAGCCCCCTGCAATGCAGGAATCTCAACTAGATCATACATGAGAGATGGCCATCCAACCTCTGCTTAAAAGCCTCCAAGGAAGGAGATTCCACAACCTCCCGAGGGAGACCGTTCCACTGTCGAACAGCTCTTACTGTCAGAAAGTTCTTCCTGATGTTTCCGCGGGATCTCCTTTCTTGTAACTTGAATCCATTGATTTTGATCCTACCCTCCAGAGCAGGAGAAAACCAGCTTGCTCCATCTTCCATGTGGCAGCCCTTTAGATATTTGAAGATGGCTATTATGGCACTGTGGGTTAAACCACAGAGCCTAGGACTTGCCGATCAGAAGGTCGGCGGTTCGAAGGTCGGTGAGCTCCCATTGCTCGGCCCCTGCTAGCAGTTCGAAACCTAGCAGTTCGAAAGCATGTCAAGTGCAAGTAGATAAATAGGTACCACTCTGGTGGGAAGGTAAACGGCGTTTCCGTGCACTGCTCTGGTTTGCCAGAAGTGGCTTAGTCATGCTGGCCACATGACCCAGAAGCTGTACACCGGCTCCCTCGGCCAATAAAACAAGATGAGCGCCGCAACCCCAGAGTTGGTCATGACAGGACCTAATGGTCAGGGGTCCTTTTACCTTTATTATATCTCCTCCCAGTCTCCTCTTCTCCAGGCAAAACACCCCCAACTCCCTCAACCATTCCTCATCAGGCTTGGTTTCCAGACCCCTTGATCATCTTGGTTGCCCTCCTCTGTGCATGTTCCAGCTTGTCAATATCCTTCTTAAACTGTGGTGCCCAGAAGTGGACACAGGACTCCAGGTGTGGCCTGACCAAGGCGGAATAGAGCAGGGCTATGACTTCCCTTGATCTGGACACTAGACCTCTGCGGATACAGCCTATAATTGCATTAGCTTTTTTCTTTTCTTTTGCTGGCGGTGAATCCCATTGAACACAGTGGGGCTTTGTTCAGGGAAAGCATGCTCACCATTACAGTGCCTATAAATGAAGCTGATTTGCCAGAGGTTATTTGTTTAATTTACACAAGCTGCAAAATCCCAATTTCCTTGGCAGAGAATCTGCATCGCCTTGGTGTGAAATGCCCTACAGCTCTGCAGCACAGCAGATGCTTTGCTTGCAAAAAGTCTCCTTCATCCTTTTTTTATAAAAAAAATAATAATTAAAGGATCAGCTAGCTAGCAGGGTGATTGACAGCCCCTCTGCTTGGTTCCTCAAACGCCTGCTGCCAGTCAGAGCAGGGAGTACTTAGGCTACATGGTGTCTACAGTGAGGGCTGCTGCCCATTGGGACTGGTAGGGTTGTTGCAGGAATTTATGTAGAGGTTGGGGGGTGCCCCTCCAGCAGATATCATGCACATGCAGCCCACTACCAAAACCAGCACAATCGCTTTTGTGACTTTTGTGATTTGTCCCCACAGTTTCTTCCTATCTATTCAAAGGGCCTTTGCTGCACAATACCAAATGTAACAATTCACTTATAAATGTATCTGGGGAAACATCAGAAATTCATATAGACATGTGAGCTCAGCTACTCAGCCAGCCCCTCTGCCTGAGTGATAATCCCTGGCATCCTGATACCTGAGTGCCAGACAGGTAGCCATTCCAGAAATAACAAACCCAGATAAAGACAAAAGGGTGTGATTAACTTGGCTGGGAAACAGGGAAATGTAAATATCTTTTTTGTTACACTAGATGGGTGTTTGGTGGAGGGCAAGGGGAACCATGGGGCAGGGTCCAGGATGCTCAGATTACTGCCACCAGACCTCCCCTTTCATGATGTATGAGTGATGTAGTTTGGGGGGGTGTAACATGGGGATTAGCAGCTAATAAAAGTTTGGGGGCTGTTTTGTTCGGGGCTTCCATCTTGTTCCACCTTGTGGCAGGTGGGAGTCCTGTCGCGACAGTCTTCAATAAAGACCAAGCCTACTGGCTGCTGTTTTGCTCTGGTGTTCCTGGCTGGTGTCCTTGTTTTTTGTCCAAGGGAGCCCTCAGATTTCTCCATTAACAGGGTGGAAGGCAGGGAAGCCAAACAGTAGGTGGAATCAGAGCCAATAACAGGTGGAGGCACGTCAGTATATTTTTGTCCGCATCCTTCTCCTCCCTGAGGAGTTTTACATTAAAACTAAGGAGGAAGAAGCTGAAAGCCAGGGACACACCCCTGGGCTAGGGCAGAGTGGGGTGGCTGAGAGCAGACAGGAGTTGGTGGGGCAGTGCCACATCTGCCCTAATAGATCAACCTGTACTGGGTGTCAGGCCAAATCAATAGAACTCAGAGGCCAGCTACTAGCTTGAGCTGATGGCCAACCCTCCTCCTCCTGCAACTGGTGGTTGCATCCAATCCCACTTGCTTTAAGACATTAGCAGTAGAGAGTTTAGTTCTCTCTGCTCTCCGCTCCCTTCTCTGGCAAGGAGCATCATAGCGGAGGTGGATATCCCTCTAAGGACAGCCTCCGACGGATCAGCTACTCAGCTCTCCTCTTCTCCCTGACAATAGCGAAACAAAGGCCATATATTATTCATTTAGGTTTTCTCGAAGGGGAAGTCGAGGAATGAGCAGCAGAAGCCCTGATTGTTTTTCACAGGGTTTCTTAATTATTTGCATCCTGAAGAAAGGGACAGCAAGCCATAGAACAGCAGTGGGAGACTGTTTTCAGCCGGAGAGCCGCATTCCCTTCAGGGCAGCTTTCCAGGGGCCACATGCCAGGAGCGGATGGGGCCAGAGGCAAAAGCGAGCAGAGCAATGAATGTGCATTTTCTCTTTATGCACTAAGCTAGTTTCATCATACACCCATATGCTGTGGGAATTTAAAGTCAAATCCAACAATGCATGTTTGCTAAATAAGGATATGAAGGGGTTAAGACTCACAGAGCTCCTGATTACTAGAGAAGGCACTGTGTGATGTCACTTCCCTTGAGTTCTCTGATTTGGGAAAAGTCAAAAGCATCTAATCTTATCTACTTCTCCCTGCCATAGAACTCATTCTCTCTTTTCCACTATGCCTCCAAGGCAGATAAATATCTGTGTGGTCTCCGCTTCAGCAGAGACTCCATTTTTTAACTCAACTATGTATTTTGTAATCTAGAAGTAGAGTTTGCCGGCCTTCCTTTCATTACTTTTAATGTTGGAATCGAGGGCAAGACTTTTATGTGAGTGAAACACTATTTTTATGCTTGATTTACAGTCTGTTGCAGGGTTCTTTTCTTAAGAGTGGGGAAAAGAAAAATCCAGTCTGCTTCCACAGCCTGGATAAATAAAAATAAGGTTACACAGCCTGCTTCCAAAGTTTCCACTCTAATGTTGCAAGGCATGATGTTTTGAACAGCTAACTAATTGTTTTAAATGCTAAACTGATTACTTTAAACGTTCTGCTCACACACGAGTAACGGGGGGATGAACAGTAAATATATACCTACAAAATCCATCCAACATGTTCTGCATTCAGGCAAGCAAAAAGGTGTACCAGAGAAACTGCAGACAGGCTAACACACTCAAGGAGGGTGTGAACTATGGTTGTGGAGGGGTGTTACCTGGGAAGAGCCCAAGGATCAGATATGAAAGCCAGGAAGGCAGTATCTGGCCTCTGGGCCTGCAGGTCATCTCCCAATCTATTCTTTCTTGGACAACATTCTGAAAGCAGCACCTGGAAAGATTTCCGGGCCTATAATCAATGCTGGTCCTCCCATCCCACTACAAAAGCCATATGATGCTGGTACTCCCATACCTGGCCACACCTGTACATTCTCATCACTGCCAAAGGAGCCTCCGGTTGCCTCATCACTCCTGGAGACATGCTCAGGGTCGCCAGCTTTTGAACTGATCTGTGGAGCCGTCCCTGGAACAAGAGCATGATGTGCAGCTGTTACTGGCCCCCTGAATTGCCGTCTCGATTTCTTACAGATTATCAATGGGTGGGGAAGTAGCGGTTTTGCATAAAATTTGCAGATACTCGTTTTTATGTGGATATATCCAGGTTTAGAAAGAATGGCTATAATTTAAAAAAAAGCACAAGGCATTACTGTGCTCTCATCATAGTGGGAGTGTGCAGGTGGCCTAGAGATTAGGGGGGGAAATCTAATGCACTTCTCATTTAAAGCTGAATCCATAAAATTCACACTTTCCAAAATAATATGAGAACCAAAACACAGTGATCCGTCGAAGGTTGCACATAACTGATTTTTTATTATTATTATTTTTGCAATGCAAGTTCTCCACTCAAATAATGTTTACCAAAATACATGTTTTACAAACAAACAAAAAAATACCGGTGTGCATAAAAATAAATATATTAGTGAAAGCAATGTACAAAAATGCATTTGGTCATGAGAAATTGCTTGCAAAAATGTGTACAGTGGTGCCTCACAAGACGAAATTAATTCGTTCCGCGAGTTTTTTCGTCTTGCGATTTTTTCGTCTTGCGAAGCACGGTTTCAGAAAAGTTTTGGAAAAGCTTCAAAAATCACCAAAGTCTTCAAAAACCTCAAAAAAGGCTACCACACTGTGTGCTATGAGTTGCTCCTCGAAGTCAAGTCGCAACTGTATTAACGGTTTTAAGAAAAAGGAAACAAACTTGCAAGACGTTTCCGTCTTGCGAAGCAAGCCCATAGGGAAAATCGTCTTGCGAAGCAACTCAAAAAACCAAAAACCCTTTCGTCTTGCGAGTTTTTCGTCTTGCGAGGCATTTGTCTTGCGAGGTACCACTGTACCTGGGTCAAAACTGCATACTAAATTGTGCTGCTTAAGAGAAATTTACACTAGAAAGCTGAAGAATTTTCATGAGGAGTGTGTGTGTGTATGTGTGTGTGTGTGTGTGTGTGTAACTAAATTTAAGATGGAAAAATCTGAGGGTCCGAGAGGACCAAAATGGACTGATCCTTTCCTCCTTATTCCCACAGCAGCCAGCTGCACTGATTGGCTGCATGCTTTCCTCCGGGATTTAGGGAAACAATGTGCAGCTTAACAAACTGCAGCTTCCAGAATTCTTTGGGGGAGGCTATGACTGTTTAAACTAAGTCATAAACCAGTATGTAAATCGAAACACAGCTATCCTTTGAAAGCTTTACGTCTCTGAATTTTGCAATCCAGTTCTCCAACAAAATAACACCTACCAAAAAATTGTGTATTACAAGAAACTTGCACTAAAAGGCTGATAAATTCTTTTTAGGTCTTCTTTTTTTTTTTTAAGGCTGACGTAGAAATGTGGATGGGACGAGGGTGGCGCTGTGGGTTAAACCACAGAGCCTAGGACTTGCCGATCAGAAGGTTGGCTGTTTGAATCCCCGCGACGGGGTGAGCTCCCGTTGCTCGGTCCCTGCTCCTGCCAACCTAGCAATTTGAAAGCATGTCAAAGTGCAAGTAGATAAATAGGTACCACTCCGGCGAGAAGGTAAACAGCGTTTCCATGCGCTGCTCTGATTCGCCAGAAGCAGCTTAGTCATGCTGGCCACATGACCTGGAAGCTGTACTCCGGCTCCCTCAGCCAATAAAGCGAGATGAGCGCCGCAACCCCCAGAGTCGGCCACGACTGGACCTAATGGTCAGGGGTCCCTTTACCTTTACCTTTACAAAGGTGGATAAGCTGAACTAAGGATGGAAAAATGCGAAGCTAGAAATGGAAAAATAGGTCCATCCTTGCTGATAAATATGTCTGGCTGGAATGTTGGCAAGTTGGCAAAACAATTACCGGTAAATGTCACCTGGGTTTGGCAAATCCCCCATATTGAGGAGACCATTCCAGCACCAGCACCCCTGGTTCCAAAGCAGACTGGGTGCAGCGCACACTAAGCAAGCAACAATCCCGTCTGTGGCAAGTTACTCACCAATCAATGGGAAGAGGAACAGCAGGAGTTTCATCCCTTGCACTAGCTGCCTGTCCCCACTAAACCGTCTGCTGAAAGGGAGCTGCCCGCGGGACAGGCACTCAGTGAATCACCTCTTCCTCTGGGCATCCCGGTTCTTCTTTCAGTTGCCATGACAACCCCCATCCCCATGAGAACAGTGGGTCATTCACCTAAGAGGTCCTTCAGGGACGCCAGCACCTGGTTGACTTCCCTTCACCTTACGTTCTTCTCAGCTTCCTCTCCCAGCCCCTTCGCATTGGGATGAGGTGAAGGGCACCCAGATACTGCCTTTTGCCAGCTTGGACACTGTTCCTCTTTCTTGGCCAGCTCCCCAGGCCAGCGGCACGAGAGACTCTTCCTAAAAGGAGCTTCCATCTCTCACCGCCTGGCACGTGGCGTTGCGGATCCTGCCAGGAGAGATCGCTGACAGCGCAGAAGGAAGAGGATCCAGCCTCTCGGTGCAGATGCTCTGTGGAAATCCTTGGGGAAACGATGAACCTCGATCCCGCTTGAGGGGCAAAGCGCCTGTGCCTCGCACACAAGCTCAGCATCTCTGTTGAAAAGATATCAGGTGGCGTTCTCTTCCTGGTGTTTAATCCTGGATTAGATGGGCCATTGCTTTTGCTCCTTATAAAAGCAGTGCCATGTGCTTTGATGAGCCTGTAGTTCAAGGGCAACACACACCATGGTGAACATCAACTTGGATGGCTTTAAGAGAGGATTAGGCAAATCCATGGAGGACAAGTCTGCTGCTAGACACAACGGCTGTCTTTGCTGCTGGGTGCAGTATGGCTCTCAAGGCCTCTTGCTGGAATATGCAGGTGGCCAGCTGTCCTGAGGTCCTGTGTGTGTGTTTCGCACTGGTACCTGGCTTTTCACTGAGAGAACAGGATCTGGAATAGATGGGCCTTTGGCCTGGTCCAGCAGCTTCTCCTTATGTCCTTAACACGCAGGAGGTCCCAGGTTCAGTCCCTGGCATCTCCAGTTAGAAGCATGAGGTATCAGGTGAGGAGAAGGAGTTATTGCCCAAGAAGATTCTGGGGAGACACTATCCATCACAGTAGACCATGATATATAATGAGTTGAAAAAATGTTTAAAATAACCTTTTCTATAAAAAAAACAAACCCCGAAGACTTCCTTTTAGGAATTCTAGGTGCCGAAATCCCAAGGACATTATAGTTCATGCGTACAGTTTATAATAATTTGAGTTATTGTAAGTTACCATGCATATGCAGGTCATCGTTTCAATAATCAATTGGCAGTTTATGAAGCATTTCTGTATCCTTCTGCTGTGCTGAAGAAGAATTCCACGAAACAGTGGGTGTATCCAGAATCACTGTTCACTACGTCTGTTTGCACATTTTGTGACTTTCAGAGATTTACAAGATTTCTGTTTATTTGGTTTTGCAGAGAGCACATATTTCATGTGTTTCATACTGGTCAATGTTCTGTATAGATTATATAAAGAGTTTATATTGACATCGCATTACAGTGGTACCTCAGGTTACATACGCTTCAGGTTACATACGCTTCAGTTACAGACTCCGCTAACCCAGAAATAGTACCTCGGGTTAAGAACTTTGCTTCAGGATGAGAACAGAAATTGTGTTCCAGCGGCGCAGCAGCAGCAGGAGGCCCCATTAGCTAAAGTGGTACCTCAGGTTAAGAACAGTTTCAGGTTAAGAACGGACCTCCGGAATAAATTAAGTACTTAACCCAAGGTACCACTGTATGGGACTTGGTCATCGTGTTGCCTTTGGATATTACTGAAATCCCAAGGGAGCAAAAAAGACTGTTTATGTATGTGACCACAGCTGTGTGGATGTTATTGGCCCAGAAATGGAAAGAAGATAAAGTCCCTACCAGAGAAGAAGTGGCAGATCGAGTTGATGGATTATGCCGAAATGTCTAAAATGACTAGAAGAATCAGAAATCAGAAAGACCAAAATTTTAATAAGGAATGGGGAAACTTTATAATTTATCTTAAAATTAGAAACAGTTGTAACTGTAAAATTGTAAACAGTTAAAATTGTTAGTAGGATTGGAATAACACTTGTAGTTTAATGGTGAGTTTTGGACACAATGGAGATGTAAATGATTTGGATTATTATTAAAGATGCAGGAGGAAATGACTAACAATAGGACCCACAAAGGGGAGGAGGGAAGTCCAGGCGATTCTCTGGAATCATGTTTCTATGGTGTATGCTGGATATGTGATTGTAAAGACATTAATCTGAAAAACCAAATAAATAAATTTATACAATAGATCTAGAAGAAACAAAATATCTGGCCTGGTCTGAGGCAGCTTCCAATGTTTAAATCGCCATGTTATGGTGCCATCGTCCACGAAATTGGTTTCCCCCCTTGCACCGACTCCCCCCCCCACACCATTACTACTTCCCAAGCTCATCCAGAATCCAGGTACCCTTGAGGGTTTTTTCCTGGCATCTGCAAATGTCTGAGTGCCCCCCTCATTGCTCCATGAACTCTGACCTTTGTCACCCTTGAAAAGGAAGGACCAACCAGAAGTTGGAAAAGTGAAACTACCATCTCCTCCTGTTGCTAATGTTGTTGTTAGATTTCTTACCCACACTGGGGTAAGAACACCATGAACCGCTGGGGCATGCTACCACAATATAAAAATACAGTATTCAGACAAGTTCAAACTTATTGCAATTAAGGAGTAGGGTAAGTCCTAGGAAGCATGTCAAGGCATAAAAGGGTGCTAGACTCACCTCTGTGGGGAGGGAAATCAATAGCTCCTACAAAGAATGTCCTCTCCTAGGCCACCTGCCAGAGAATTTTTGGGGGTGGTGGAACTACCAAGAGGGCCCCTCTGTCAGGAGTTCAGCCTACACTCGAGCAGGACCCTGGCAGAGACAAATGCCCGACTGGCATGTTCTCTCCCTCCTGGTCGATTGTTCAGGAGCTTCATAAGCCTTCTTCAGCCCGAACATCACAGCGACCAATGCCAACCGACACCGGCACACTTAGGGATCTGCAGAGTTTGCGCATCATGCATGACAGACCTCAGCAACTCAGCATTTTGGCTAATCTACTTTACAGCAGTACCTTGGGTTAAGAACTTAATTCGTTCTGGAGGTCTGTTCTTAACCCGAAACTGTTCTTAACCTGAAGCACCACTTTAGCTAATGGGGCCTTCTGCTGCCGCTGCACCGCCACTGCACGATTTCTGTTCTTATCCTGAAGCAAAGTGCTTAACCCGAGGTAATATTTCTGGGTTAGCGGAGTCTGTAACCTGAAGCGTATGTAATCTGAAGCATATGTAACCCGAGGTACCACTGTATTTATATATAAACACACACAGAGCACTGCAATATGGCTCCCTCTCTAGCATCAGACAGCAAAGAGAAAAAGAACAAAGGACAATAGTCCCACTTCATGGAACACAGTAACACAAACATCCTGTCTCCATCTCTTCCCACTCTGTGGATTCAAAACATATACCGTCATGTGAAAGACAAAAATCCCATGACTGCAATCATAGAGCAGGAATTCTAACACCCTCTGCCAATCTTAGCACTCAAGAGGGTCTGTAGGGAGGGAGGCAATCTTTCACCTGGAAATGAACTGGCAACCGATGCTTTTAGAACAGGGGTTATTTGAGTTGTACAAGGAACTCGAGTCAGTAACCTGGCTGCTGCCTCTTGAACCAGCTGAAGTTTCCAAGTCATCTTCCAGGGCAGTCCCACGTAGAGAGTGTTGCAATAATTCCTATCTGGAAGTTACCAGAGCATGGAGTGCAACTTACGTGGCAAGAATCACAATCTGGAAGCAAAGCCGACTTGGCACCCTCGGAAAGGATTTGTTTGGAATTTCCCTTACTGCAACACAGCCATTAAACACTCAGAAGCCCCGACATCTCTCTACAAGTCCCTCCGAGCTGCGGATGTTTCCAGTTTCCATTTAATTTAGGAAGACGCTCTTTATGGTCCTAAGTAAAATATTGGTTCTTGGTTGCTCAATCAATAAATCCTCTCCGCGGATAAGCAAACCAAGGCAAAAGCTAACAGGGAAGCGCTCGGTTCTTCATATTCTGCTTGTTTCAGCTCAGTGGAGGAGAAAAAGAGAAGGGGAGAAACAGAGATCACACAACTGGGCAGCCCTTGCTTATTTGGTGTGTTGATTGGCTGTAAGGAAGATGGGGTCTTTTGGCAACTCCACCTCTTTTTGGAAAGAGGACCCTGAAGATGTGGAGACAGATCTGGGTGGCTGAGATAGCCAGCAGGCTAGGAATTTATATGACCCTGAGAATGCCTGAAATTATAATATCTGGTACAGAGGTGAGAACCTCAAGTGTGTGCATCTATAATACCCTCCAGGGCTCATTATCTCTGCCCGCAGCTCCAAAATCCTTCGCTGTTCCTTGACAGCTCCAAAATCCGTCGCTTGGGAGGGGACCGCTCAGCCACCTGGGCACACCTGCAGCATCTCGCCTTTCCTGTGCTGCGTCAGCTCCTCTGCCATGCCCAGACTGCCCCCCGTACACAGGGAGCATCCCGTATCACCGCCACAAGAAGATGCTGCTTGCTGAGTGGTGCCATGGCAGCCGTCCAACCTGGCTGGATAATGAAGGCAGCCTTTGTTCTCGGCCTCCAAGGCCAAAGGAAGCAGCACTTAATCCACCACGAGGCCTTGGAGAGGCCAAAGCCAACACGGTCCTGTTTTGCCCTCTGTGTACTGAAATAAAAAAAATTCAAGGTCTTATATAATAAATGTTCATAAATGTACCAAGCAAACATGTACATAACTATATAAGCCACATGTCTGAAGCAGCACAGTAAAACAGCTCTGAAACCATTTTGACTCCCAAACTGACCAAATGTTTTCTCTGCAAATGGGGGGGGGAGAGAGAGAGCCTCCCCATTGTCTTTTTGTTCACAAATCCTGTCTTAAGGGTATGTCTGTGTATGAATATGGTAAGCCTGTGACCTGGCTCAGAAACTAAGTATTTGTCATTATAAAAGACTGGCCAGGCTCCCCAGGGTATCCAATCAAGTGACCATTAACAGGTCTGCCAGACAGGAGGTAAACAACGCACTCAGATTTCTGTTGTAGACCGCCCTTTCTGTGATGTAGGTATGATGTATCTGTGGGGTGGTCTTGAGCTACACCCCTTTCTGTGATGTATGTATGATGTATCTGTGGGGTGGTCTTGGACTCCAGGGCAGTTTAAAAGGTCTATATAAGGGCGAGCACACCTTTGTTCTAGGTCCTCCTCCTTTCCTGCATGTGAGGAGAGCACCTTGTTGCAACAGTTCAATAAAGATCAGGCTTACGAGCTGCTTTGCTTCTCAATATTCTCTGGTTGGCCTCTGTTATTTTCTCCGACCGATGGAGAACCTACAAAGGACTCTATAAGGGCTCTTGTACCCCCATAAGGGAATAAGGGCAGATTTTCATTTATTACAGTACAAACCCCTCCTAGGACAGGCAGCAGGGCAGTGAGGTAATTTTAGACTCTGGGCATAATGGTCTTAGGGGGGGGAGTGAGGGGAGGCGAGGGTAGCCATGCCTCCTGCTGTATGGGCTGTCCTCTATTTGGAAGTGTTTGAAAGGCTGCCAGAAGACAGTTTATTTCAGGTCTACCTGGCCTTTATGATACTCACCCAGACAACACCCCTTAACCAGGCACTCCCTCTTTCCCTGGCCATGCCTCTCACTGGCCTTGTTTCACAACCTCCTTGAGTGTTTTTGCCCAGCTGCGATGTGTCCCTGAACTCTTGATTCTTGGAGGTTTCTAGCAGAGGTTGGGTGGCCATCTGCCAGGGATCCTCTGGTTGAGATTCCTGCAGGGAGGTTGACTAGATTGCTCTTGGGGTCTCTCCAACTCTACAATTCTATGGATTATTTTTATTTATTTTTAAACAATTCATAGCATTTTTTGGAGGATCATCTAGTCCAACCCCCTGCAATGCAGGAATATGCAGCTGTCTAGGGTTGCCATATGTCCGGATTTCCCCAGACATTTTCTGGGACTCCAATGACAGAATTAGCATCCAGGCGAGAGCTTGGAAAATTGGCAAAATTTCCCCAAAAAACTGAACACCTTTTTTTGTGTCTAGATTTTTACTTCTTGAAATATGGCAGCCCTACAGCTGTCCCACATGGGGATCAAACCTGCAATCTTGGTGGTGTCAGCACCAGTCTAACCAACTGAGCTATGCTACAGTTGCTACAATGATGCTACAATGAAGGTAGCCAAAAAGCATTTCAGAAAGTGAGTAATCTCGATAGCTATAGAATAGGAAAGAAAAACGTGAGTGAAGCGTAGAATTTCTTGTTTATTGTGTGTGTGTGTGTGTGTGTGTGTGTGTGTGTTTATATAGTGCAAATAAATACAATATAGCATGGCAGTGGGCAACAATATATACAATAAAATAGAAAACACCATAGAAAACAGTTTTAAAATGATCATTAAAATGACTAGTTGATTAAAAAAAATTCAATAGTTGCATAGGCCTCCTTGGATCAAAAGGTCTTCAAGAGGTGCCTGAAAATAAAAAGTGAGACCTGCAGGTATCAGGCAGTATACAAATTTAATAAATATAAATAATAAAATTAAGTGAGGGTGTCTGCCAAATGTTTGCTGGAATGGCGCACAGCAAAATGCCTGACTCCTGGTGGAGGCCCTCTGAACACCTGTGGCCCTCCAGATAGGGAGACATGGAGCTGCCTTATACAAAGTCAGACTATTGGTCTATCTGGCTTAGAGACTGGCAGTGGCTCTCTGGGGTTGCAGGCAGGGGACATTCCCCATCCTACCTGGAGAAGCCGTTGGGGATTGAACCTGGGACCTTCTGCATGCAGGGCAAATGCTCCACCACTGAGCTATGGCCCTTCTCTTTAAACAGTGGTGTTTTTGTCTTGCTTCTGCAAATGAGGGAAGGTGGGAAACAAAACTTGGAAGAAGGAAGGAGATCTGGCAGCTCTGCCTGCGGCAATGGTATCATTAAAGATAAAAATAGACCCCCAGGATTGCAGCTTGGCGGACAAGCGAGTCCTACTCCCAAGAAAGGCGTTGCCCAGCCTCCTTTGCAGAGGAAACTGCTTTGTACCAGGTCAGACTGTTTCTTCGCTAAGTTCTGTATTTTCAATACTGACTTGTAGCAGCAGTCCGGGGTTTCAGGTAGGAAGCCTTTCCCAGCCCTACCTGGAGCTGCTGGGAATGAGCATGCAAAGCAGGTGCTCTGCTCCTGTGCCTATAGTGCTCCTCTTAACAATAAAGCAAGATTCTAGTCCTCATGCTTCTGGGAAAGTGTTGGTTTAAATAGGAAACCGCCTGGTGCAAACTCAGGTCATTGGACTGTCTAGCTCAGCATGGTCTACTGCTGTCAGGGGTTGGTTGGTTGGTTGGTTGGTTGGTTGGTAGCAGGGGAATGGTGAGAGGAACTAGCTGGGGTACCACCAAGGGAAGAAGGCTTTAGAGGGGTGGTGGTGGTGTGACAACATTGAGTGGTCAAAGGGAGAAGATGGGGAAGAGGAGGTGTTGGAAGCTGAAGAGGTAACAGAGTGAAATATACTGAGTCGAGAGTGGATTTCATGCTCTTTATTCAGCTCATAGTGGTGAGGAGGAATGGAAGTTCCCCAGAACGTCTGCTTTATATACATTATTTACACAATGGGCCCCACGTGATTGGCTAATTCTGGGATTCTCCTGTAGGCCAATCAGGTTGCGAATTCACTTCCACCTGGAGCTGGATTGGGTGGCTCCTGTGGGCCAATCAGACTGCTGCATTCTGGAGCCTATTGTTCTAGGACCAATCAGACTGCTGCATTTTGGATCCTATTCAACTCAGTACATAACACAGAGTTAGTGAGCCGGGAGAGTCTGTGGCAGGGAGAAATCCAGACTCGGGGGCAGTATCTGAAACAAGAGAGGAGGGAGAATGGAGGCCAAGAGTCCAGCTGGTGAAGGGTCACAGGTTTCTCTACCTTCTGCTGCAACATGCTCCCCTTTTGCCGCCTCTCCGCAACAGAAGAGGCATGAAAAGGGCACAGGAGAGGTTGGCCGCACCCAGGCACAGTCTCTGATTGCTTGGGGAAAGCCCTGGTGAGGAGGCAGGGACTTTCAGACTCAGCAACTGATTTTCATGGAGGAAGACCACCGGAATGAGCTGCTCTGCTCATTAGGCCTGTCACTCAACCAAGTCTGCGGAGGTCGTGTTTTTGGTAATAAAATGTAACTTCAGCTTTGGACTGTGTGATTACTGACCAGCACCCTCCTGTGATTGACACTGATTAGCGTCAGCTCTTTCCCAGCCGTACCTGAAGACGGCAGGTATTGAGCCTCGGGCCATTCTCTGTGGTACTACTATGCAGTTACTGACTTCCACTTATGTTCATGAAAGGCTTAACCTGAGCCAAAAATGAGCTCAAGTTACCATGGGAGCAACACAGCACGCTCCCGGCAGCCTTGGCCTTTTCCACCCTCCTTTACTCTCTGCCTTTCTCTCTCTCTGCCTTCCTGAAGGAAGCCAGCAGCCATGCATAGTTTCCAGCTCAACAAAAATTAAATGCGGCTAAACTCCTGGGCCCCTTCATGGATCACTGCCTTGCCGTGGCGAAGGGGCTTGCATAACTCAGAGAAGCTATGAACTATGCTGAGCAGGGCATCCAAGGTGGACAGGTCATAGTGGAGAGTTTTGACCAAACGTGATCCACCTGGAGGGGGAACCGGCAAGCCACTCCAGTATCCCTGCCAAGAAAACTCCATGGACAAAGGACAAATCCTGAAGCTGAGACTCCAATATTTTGGCCACCTCATGAGAAGAGAAGACTCCCTAGAAAATACCCTGATGTAGGGAAAGATGGAGGGCACAAGGAGACGGGGACGACAGAGGACGAGATGGTTGGACAGTGTTCTCGAAGCTACCAGCATGAGTTTGACTAAACTGCGGGAGGCAGTGGAAGAGAGGAGTGCCTGGCGTGCTCTGGTCCATGGGGTCACAAAGAGTCGGACACGACTAAACGACTAAACAACAACAACAACAAACTCCTGGGAGATTCACACAGCCCGAGTATCTTTGCTAACATGGTCCTTTTTGTGATGAAGTCAAGATGCTTTAAATCGATGGGAAGGAACCCTTTCCCCTTTACTTTGCTGCTGATTGGATGAAGACATGTGCAAACCTCGTTCCTCAAACTTGGGTCCCCGGCTGTTGTTGGACTACAACTCCCATCATCCCCAGTTAGCAGGACCAGTGGTCAGGGATGATAGGAACTGTAGTCCAATAACAGCTGGGGACCCAAGTTTGAGAAACATGTAAATCAATATGAATGTAGCCTACCTTCCCAGGGTGTTTATGAAGATGCCTGTACCTAGCATTGAGCCATGGGGGGCGGGGGAGATGCCCCCATAAATCAAGTAAATAAAAAGAAAGAAAGACAGAAAAATCATGGACAGAATAATTGCCACACACAGGAAGATTAAGGATACAGTTTGAGTGCTTCACTGGTAGTTTCATAAACCATTTAATGTGTCAATACGAATGGAAGTTGTTAATATTGCAGTTGTTGTATAAGGGATTGCTATCTCGACCGGAGTGTAATTGAAATTAATAAGATTTTGGAATGCAGAAATAAAGAAAATCATCAAGCCATCAATTCTAGCACGTGCAGGGGGGGACGGTTATCTGAATGTTTGGTATTAGAAATTGTATTATAACTTGGCATTGTTATAATGAGGCTATTATTGAACTGTAATTGAAAACTAATAAAAATTATAAACAAACAAACTTCACTGACCAATCACTTTGCAGTTAGCTTGGTTCTGCCCCCCCCCCCAACATAAATCCTGGCTATGCTCGTGCATTGAGCTCTGTGTTATATGAATGCTCTGACACTTTGCCCTTTGCATACTCTAGCATTGTTTTTCAACCCTGGTGGACATGTTCTGCCTCCACAGTCAGAGGTGGTTAGTTTCTGAATACCAGTTGCTGATAACCATAGGAAGGGAGAGTGCTGTCGCTCTCAGGCCTCGGTCCTGTATACCTGAAGGAGCGTCTCCACCCCCATCATTCAGCCCAGACACTGAGATCCAGCGCCGAGGGTCTTCTGGCGGTTCCCTCATTGCGAGAAGTGAGGTTACAGGGAACCAGACAGAGGGCCTTCTCGGTAGTGGCACCCACCCTGTGGAACACCCTCCCTTCAGATGTGAAGGAAATAAGCAGCTATCTTATCTTTAAAAGACATCTGAAGGCAGCCCTGTTTAGGGAAGTTTTTAATATTTAATGCTGTATTGTTTCTAACACTTGATTGGAAGCCGCCCAGAGTGGCTGGGGAAACTCAGCCAGATGGGCAGGGTATAAATAGTAAATTATTATTATTATTATTATTATTATTATTATTATTATTATTATTATTGAAACTGCTTGTGGACTTCACATGGGTATCCATTTGGCCACTGTAAGTACTGGATGCTGAATCAGATGGACCATCAGCCTGATGTTCTTATTCATCATATTCCCCCTGGGTGCCCTTAAGAGTAGATTAGAGAAATTCATGGAGGCTAAGCCTATCCATGGCTACATTCTACCTCCACATTAAGTGCTCCTGAAGAACAGTTGGTAGGAATCACATGCAGAGAGAAGGCTGCTGCACTCGGCTCCTGCTTCTGTGCTTTGGCATCTGGTTGGCCACTGTGAGAACAGGATCCTTGGCCTGATCCAGCAGCCTGTTTGTATGCTCAGCCATTTATCTGTGTGAGCAAGGGAATGGAGCCAGGGGGGGGGGGACCTTAACCCTGGATCTGTAATGGCCACATTACACTGAACATGTGAATGAGCCCCAACAGCGTGCTGCTACCCAGGTTCAACTTTTTGACCTTGGCTGATGGATAATGATTCACCTCCTCTTGGTCCCAACACAGAACCCTTAACTTGCTCAAAGGTGCCATCTGGTGGCTTGTTCGTGTTCCAGTTCCAGTACTGTATTTTCTGTTCCTTCTCTGATTCTTTAAAATTAGGCTGCAGCCGTATGTGACGCTTGTTTAAGATCTGCCACATTGAAAAAAATGAAGATCAATGGCAACTAAATCAGTCCTGCAGTGCTGGAGGAGAAGGGCTTAATCCCTCCCTTCCCCCCCCCCTGCATCGACTGATTAAAAACATCTCACCCCAATGGGGAGTTGTTTAAAATTGTTTTAATACTGTGTTTTAATTCTGTAAGCCACCCAGAGACCTTGGGGTGAAGGGCAGGAAATAACCTGTAACAGCAGCAGCAGCAACAATAATTCCTATGAAAAGAAAAATGGGGGACATCTTTAATTTTTTGAAAAAGCCTATGGGATGTATCCAACTCAGATACAGAGCAGGCCCACTGAAATTAATGGACCTAATCTAGCCACATCCATTAACTTACAATGGTTCTACTTTGGGTAGGACTAGCATTGTACAGTATATAATCCAATGCAAAAAACTAAACAAGGGGCTGATTTTTTTATTTTAAAAAAAAAAGTAGGAGGAAGAGTGGCAGATCAGCATGGACAAATATAAATGAGTAGATTAGACTTATAGAACAAGGGAAAGTTGTGCCACTGCCCAGGAAGAGTGGTGAAATGTCCAGGGTGGTGGTGAAAAGCCCAGGAAGGGTGGTGAAATATTAACCTAACCTATAAGGACAAGGAAACGGTTGTGCCACTGCCCAGGAAGAGTGGTGAAATGTCTAGGGTGGTAGTGAAAAGCCCAGGAAGGGTGGTGAAATATTAACCTAACCTATAAGGACAAGGAAACGGTTGTGCCACTGCCCAGGAAGAGTGGTGAAATGTCCAGGGTGGTAGTGAAAAGCCCAGGAAGGGTGGTGAAATATTAACAGATGACAAAGAGAAGGAGGGACTTAAAACCAACTTCTGTTTTGCCCCCATCTTCCCCAGAAAGGGGAGCTGTGTGTGTAATCTTACATAAGCAACAGAGCCCATGAGGAGTCAGGATTGCAGTCCAAGACTGATAAGGACAAGAAACACCTTCAAGAGTTTGGAGTTGGGTGAATTTCATCCTAGGGACATCCAAGGAACCTCCCCACGTTCCCTCTGAACCTCTGCCTGTCGATTCTAAGAAAGCCCACAAACAGGTGAGGGGACACAGGACTGCAGAAGGGATGTAGCTCAGTGGCAGAGGGTCTGCTTTCCATGCACAAGGTCCCAGGTTCAAGCATCAGCATTTCCAGCTAGAGATTGGATCCCAACCCTACCCCGCTTAAAGCCCTGGAGAGCTGCTGCCAGCTAATGTAGGTGGACCAGTAGGCATTTACGGAAGCTTCCAATGCGGGAGGAGGTCCCTCAATAAAGCATAACGAAGACACGGGTTTATTATTCTTGCCATTGATTGGTTCGTGACTCCATTAGTCTCCAAGCTTCCTATATAGAACAGGGAAAGCATGGTCCCCTGTCCTCAAAAAGGTGGGGAAGGGAGATAGGAGAAACTGCAGATGAATACTGGAGATGAGGATTGTTGCTTAAAGGACTGGAGGAGGGGCACAGGGCCATTGCAGAAATTCATATCTGCATATGCTAATTTATATACAATGGTAGGAGTTTGGGGGGCTTGGCAGGGGACTTCTGGTCCATACACATAGTTTTTAAAAGTTGCATTTTAAAACAACAACAACAACAAAACCATCTGCAGTCGTGAAGAGATGCTACCAGTCAGTGTAGAGAATATTGAGTTAGATGGAGTCAGTAATAAGGCAGCTTCCTGTTTGAGAAGGGCTGTAGCTCAGCAGTAGAGCACCTGATTTGAATGCAGAAGGTCCCAGGGAACATATCCTGTCTGCAGAGCTGGTGCCACTCAGTGTAAACAATGCTGAACTAGATAAGAGCAATGGTCTTACGATGTATAAGGCAGCTTCCAATGGTTCCTGTATTATGTGTACGCACTGTCTCCCTCCCTCCCTCCTTCTTCCCTGGTGTTTTCTTCCTACCAGCATTCCACACCCATCTCCTTTGTTGCTATGGCGTTCTGTGGCTTGACACGTGACCTGCCTTCTCATCGGTCCACAAACAAGTTCCCGGAGCCAGGCTCAACGAATCTGCAAACAAACTCACTTTTGGCACCCACAGAGGTGAAACAGGAGATGGAGGCTGTGCACCGCTGCTTCCCTGAACCAAGGCGACAGCTAAACCTTTCCAAACACCCACAACAGCCACTTGGTTAAACAGAGGCACCGGAAGCCTAGCACATCGTTCCAGCATGAGCCCCAGATCTAATTGGCATCTGTCACTCCCCAGCGACTGTTGCATCTCACCATCATTCTGATTCTGTTGCAGGGACCTTTAAGTCACCACAGAGCCAGAGCAGAGGAGGACAAAGAGGCCTGTCAAGAGAGCTAAGGAGCATGTGGGGACGTTGACCTGACCCACCCAACCTCGTTGGCCTTTGGCAGCAGCGATAATTTGGAAAACATGATTCCCGGAGAGAACGTTTGCTGAGAAAGGGCAGGCAAGTCCTCTCCCCCCCCCCAACTGCACACAAACAGTGTAGCTAGCTAAAGAGCAAAGATCAAAGCACTTCGCTCAGAGAAAGCAGTTTTGCATTGCAAGAGAGGACGAGAGCTTGGCCGGGCACTTTTGCAGCAACAGATAGGTGCGCGCTGGTGCATTGCCTGTGGCACCTGTCAGAGGAAGACCCCAATTCTCCTCTAACGTGAATTAAAGGAAAGGTGAATCTCAGGGGTCGTGCCTGCACACACGCTCCTGTCCCTGGGAGTGCGGCTTTTGCTGAGGGAGGCCCTGCCAGATACTGCCTCCACGTTGCAATGGCGCAACAGCATGGCGGCGCTCCAAATCCCGCTGCACTGGGACCCGAACAGGTTCAACTCCTTTTGGCCACAAGCAAAGAAGCCAAGCGGTTTGCCTACTGCCCCTACAGCAACTACCCGGTGGGGGCTGCCCTCCTGACCTCCGATGGGAAGATCTTCTCTGGTAAGTGAAGGAAGACCCTCCTCCATGTGGCTGCCATGCCATGCATCCTTCTACTGAAGTCCCTCTGGCTCAGTACTGTCCACTCTGGGTAGCAGTGGCACTCCAAAGCTTCAGACAAGGGACCTTCCCCTGCCCTACCCTTTGGGGATTGGATCTGTGGCCTGGTAGTAATGTATTTGCAGGGTATTTGGTTCAAGTCTGGTTGAAAGATCAAGAACCCTCAGAACTGGCTGGGGTGGCATGCAGGTCGCCCAGTCTTCCCCATTGTGCCGAGGTGCACTGCATTTTTTGCTTAAATCCATGCTGTTATTTCTACATTTGCATCGATGCTCACAATTTGCACCTGCAATTTTGCGTACCCTTGCCTGCCCTCTGTTTTGGCAGCAGCCTTTCAAACAGAAGATGCCTTCAGACAGAGCAATGCCTTCAGTAAAGTAGAACACATGGCCACCCCCTGAAAAGCACATTGCATGCCTCATTTCAGTAATCTTACAACAGCCCTAGGGACGCGGGTGGCCCTGTGGGTTAAACCACAGAGCCTAGGACTTGCCGATCAGAAGGTTGGTGGTTCGAATCCCCGCAACGGGGTGAGCTCCCATTGTTCGGTCCCTGCTCCTGCCAACCTAGCAGTTCAAAAGCACGTCAAAGTGCAAGTAGATAAATAGGTACCGCTCCGGCGGGAAGGTAAACAGCGTTTCTGTGTGCTGGTCTGGTTCACCAGAAGCGGCTTAGTCATGCTGGCCACATGACCTGGAAGCTGTCTGCGGACAAACGCCGGCTCCCTCAGCCAATAAAGCGAGATGAGCAGCGCAACCCCAGAGTTGGTCACGACTGTACCTAATGGTCAGGGGTCCCTTTACCCTTTACCTTTTACAACAGCCCTATAAAGCAGGGCACCAGTATTATCCCTTATATTGCGGGTGGAAGAGCACTGAGGCTTTGCCAGAATAGCCATCATTCTGCCTGTTGGATGCTATCGGACTCCCAACTCCCATCAACCCCAGCAAGCATGGCTAATGGTCCAGCTACATCTGAACAGGTTGGGCCGAATGCCTCATTGTGAGTTATTGGGAGCAGTGAGGTTTGAAATGGGAAATAAACCTACAGTACTGATGATTCATCATCATGTGTTTTGAACCAGAACTTTTCTTCTGCAGGGGGTAGCCAGGGTACTGTATAATTAATGAACCAGAACCACTGATATCACTCAGAGTGAAATGAATTTGAATGAATTTGACAATACTTAATGAACCAGTTCAAGTTCTAACTGTGGCTTCTGTAAGAGGTATCAAAGATAGATTGGCAGAAATGGTTTGATTTTTTTTAATCTAATCAATATTTTTTTAAATATATATATATGATCAGTAACTGGCTCCTTAGTTCCCCAGAACCATTCCCCAGCCTTTAGTGAATTTTTAATTCCTGTCAAACTGACAATGTTCTTTTCCCTCGCAAAAGCTGACCTGCAAGCTCTCCAATTTCATAAGCAATGGAATGTTCTGTGATGCCACAACAGCTCAGCCAATCCATGATGAGGCATTGCTGCCATGAGTACAATATACTATAGATATGGATTCTAAGGCTTCGTCACGAGAGATTTTAACCCATCTCGTGCTTTCTTCAGGTTGCAACATTGAAAATGCATGTTACCCGCTGGGTGTGTGTGCTGAACGTACAGCAATCCAGAAGGCAGTGTCAGAAGGGCATACAAAATTTCGAGCTATAGCTATTATTTGGTAGGTATTATTCCTATCCTGCTTCCTTGGTGAACGAGCAGCCTTGGGAGGGTTTGCATCCTGGAAGATGGGCTATAAATAATTGCTATCAGCCAGTGGCTTTATATGCACTATACATTTAAAGCAGCGTCTCACCACTTCAAACAGCTATGGCTTTCCCCAAAGAATGCTGGAAACTGTTGCTTATTAAGAGTGCTGAGATGTTATTAGGTGACCCCTATTCCCCCATCAAAGAGCTGCAATTCCCAGAATTCACTGGGAAGAGGGACTGGTGGTTGAACTACTCTGGGAATTGTTGCTCTGGGAAGGGAATAGCTTCCTAACTACTCTCAGCACCAAGCAACAAACTACAGTTCTCAGATTCTTGGGTGGAGGGCAGGGGGGAAAGTCATGACCATTTAAGGTGGTTTGATGTTGCTTTAAATAAGGAATATAGAAGGGGCCAGACAGTTCACTACATACACTGAGTCTTAAATGCTATGGGTTTCTTGACCTTCTTTCCCTTCCCCTGGCCTTTTGTTGAGACCTGTGGTGAGAGATCTGGTGGGATAAGAGACCAGGGCTGGAGAAACTCAAGCCCAAGGGCCAAAGGTGTGTCTGTTTGGCCCCAGGACCCCCCCCCCCTCTCACCTGCTCTGTACCCTTCTCAGGTGCTTTCGCATGACAGGTAAAGACACCAAGAAGGTGCAATGCAAGAAAATAACATTGGAATGAAAAGTTTTTTCCATAATAAGCAGAATGATGGAATACATGGGTCTCTGTATTTTTTTCTAAGAGGTCTAGGGATGGATCTACACAAAGGGGGAAAAACAATATAAATGAGTCAGAAATTAAATTGTTATAACAGAATAAAAAAACCGCTATGGAAAAATCACTTAGATTTTTTTTTGCTCTCTGGTGCCATCTGGTGTTGCAGGTTTATAACACATTCAAAACGCTGTTTGTTGACTAATGTAGCTGAGTCCTAGGCTTAGATCTGACTGTAAGAGCAGTTTGACAATAGAACCAATTTTCTAGAGAGGTGGTGAGCTCCCCTTGCTGGGACTACCTGTTGGAGATGCCCAAGCATTGTGCAAGGGGTGGACTAGATGGCTTTCAATGCCCCCTCCAACTCTGGGTGCCTTCAGATTTGCAAATGGGTTGCTGGGGCATTACAACTGGGTTATGAGCAATAGGCTCCTTTTTGAACCTATCAGATTTTATCCTTCTTTTAATCTGGATTAAACTAGGTTTCCGTGTGGGGCAGGGGAGATTTGGGCTGGCAACTGATGACACTGTGGTGGTGATATGGATGCTGGAAAAACCTTGCGGTCAGTGGACACCTGTCCGGAAGCCAGCCAGCCAGCCACCCAATGATCTGGGAAGTGTGTCTTGTTCTGACTTCATTATTTTTTCAACTTGAATCTTTCACCGTATTAGCATATTTTGTAGACAGCCTCCTCTGCTATGAGCGAGACTCCTGAACTCTGCTTTTATTCTGCTCCAACAGCAACAGCCAAGAAACGTTCGCGGTGCCCTGTGGGGCTTGCAGACAAGTGCTCAGAGAGGTAAACAGACCGCTCCTTTAAACCCCATACCCTTCTTTGCCTTTGTCACACGAACACACCAGAACCAAAGGACAAGAGATCCCCCCTGTGGAAATGGCTTGTTTCCTTTAGGCCAGAGAGGCATTAAAGCAGTGATGGCCCTACAGCTGTTGTTGGACCACAATTCTCTCCTGGTATGCCCCGCAGAGGACCCTAAGGTCCATGAATAACCATCGTTTAGAGGTCCCGGGCCCTAAGGAAGTCAGACTATCCTCAACCAGGACTAGGGCCTTTTCAATGATGGCTCCGACCTGGTGGAATGCTCTGTCCCATGAGTCTAGGGCCCTTCAGGATTTAACCTCCTTCCATCGGGCCTGTAAGACAGAGCTATTCCGCCTGGCCTTTAATTTGAATTCAGCCTGATCTTTTATTTCCCTTCTCTTCCTTCCCCTCACCCACTCTGAGACCCCACAGCTAATTCTCCCCTGGCCTCCTCGCTGGCCCAAGTAGGACTAATTCAGCCAGCTAGCCCTGGGGGTTTATCTAATGCTTATTAGATGGATTTCCCCTAAATTGATTTCTGAACTTTGAATTTTTGTTATTCATGTTTTTATACTGTATTTTATGCTGCTTTTACAATTAAGTGTTTTAAATTTGTTGTTAGCCACCCTGAGCCCAGTTTTTGAACCAGGAAGGGCCGGGTATAAATAAAAAATTATTATTATTATTATTTATTATTATTCCCATCATCCCTGACCACTAGCTAGAGATGATGGGAGTTGTAGTCCCAAACAGCTGGAAGGCCAAGTTTGGCCATCACTGCATTAAAGAGAGGGTGGGTCTTAAATTGGAGAGAGGGGGCAGGCCTTCTAATATAAAGATCAGAGTCCATACTTAAGAACTGGGAAGTGGCTAACGTCACACCAGTTTTTAAAAGGGGATCCAAGCTATTCTAGGCTGATTACCTGAATGCCTCCTGTATCAGAGGTTCTATACCTCTGTGTACCAGGTGTTGAGGGCTGCTGCACTCAGGTGCTGTATGGTCTTCTCATTGGGGCATCTGACTGGCCACTGGGAGAACAGGACACTGGGCTAAACGGGCCTTTGAGCTGATCCAGTTTCAAGCTAGACAATGGAAGAGGGCACCTTCGGGGGGGGGGGAAAGTCTAACCACTGAAGAGTTATAGCGCTGTGGCTTTAGAGACCAATATGAGAGAGAAATGCTTTTATTGCAAGTTGGGCAGATAAAGGCATCCGATTTTGCTGCTACAGGTGCACCATGACGTTTATTCTTCAGCTTTGGCGTTCTTCTTCAAACCTGCGCCCTCAGCTGTTTTTGGACTACAGTTCCCATCATCCTTGACCACTGGTCCTGCTAGCTAGGGATGATGGGAGTTGTAGTCCAAAAGCAGCTAGAGACCCAAGTCTGGAAAACGCTATAGAGTGGTACCTCGGGTTAAGTACTTAATTCGTTCTGGAGGTCCATTCTTAACCTGAAACTGTTCTTAACCTGAAGCACCACTTTAGCTAATGGGGCCTCCCGCTGCTGCTGCACCGCTGGAGCATGATTTCTGTTCTCATCCTGAAGCAAAGTTCTTAACCCGAGGTACTATTTCTGGGTTAGCGGAGTCTGTAACCTGAAGCGTATGAAACCTGAAGCGTATGTAACCCGAGGTACCACTGTACTAACTCAGTGAAAAGACACACTTTGGGGTAGAAATGCATCAGATTGTGCTATAAGACAACCATCTCACGGGATTTCTTTTTTAAAACCCTATCTAGTTCGGCAAACATTGGGAAATCTTCTTGGCCAAGGCAGATGGGACGCACATTCAGAAGACTTTGGAGGACCTTCTGCCTTTCTCCTTTGGACCAGAAGACCTGAAGATGGTCTGAAGAGCACAAGAAACAAGAATCAACCCACAGAGGCTTTGGTGACCTTAATGCTCCCAGCATGATGGACAGAGTCCTTTTATATATTTCAAAACTATTGCAGATTCAGATATTCAGTTCAAATGCAATTCCTTAGCCCATCCTGCACATTCAGGGAGGGAGCTACTTTGGAAGTCACTCGGCTAAGAGCGATATTTACGAAAGCAAGGAATGGTAGAGCATGAGACTCTTAATCGCAGAGTCATGGGTTCGAGCCACACCTTGGGTGAAAGATGGGGTTGGAGTAGATGACAATTGGTGTCCCTTCCAACTTTACAATTCTATGAAATCCTTTTGCAGCTTAATTCCCTGCTTTACAGAAGTGGCTTCCCCCACGAACTCTCCTCTTAAAAAGGGGATGGCTTCATCTCAATATCTGCATTGCTAGCATGCACTGCTCCAGGTGGAAGACGGAAAGATGCCTTATACCAAATCAGACCATTGGTCTACCTAGCTCAGAACCGTCTCTACACTGACTGGCCGTGGCTTGCATAGGCTTCAGACTTTTTCAGCCCTACTTGGAGATGCTGAGGATTGAAACTGGGACCTTCTGCATGCAAAGCAGATGCTCTACCATAGCTTCTTTAGGAGAAACCATGGTCCTCCTCCAAAATATAAAAAAGATCCCAGTCCTCATGGTTCTCAATAAAGGGTTGATTTAAACAGGAACACATTGGTTCATCTAGCTTAGTTTTGTTTCAAGCTCTGTCCCGAGATTTCAGGTGGCCCTACCTGGAGATGCCAGGAATTAAACCTGCGACCTTCTGCAAGCAAAGCAGATGCTTCACAGCTGGGGTGCAGCTCTTCCTCAGATGTGGAAAAGGCTGGAGAGGAGGAGGACTTCTAGGGCTGGGGGCTCAACCCTTATGTCTAGAATTCTAGACAATCCCTTTTCAAAAAAAGGTTCTTTTCTTTTCTCTGTGACACCCCACTCTTTCTTACAAGAACCAGAAGACAGTCATGGTCAACAGACTTATGATCTCAAAGCTATGGCACACAAGGAAAAAGGGATGGGGAGGGAGAAATGAAGTGCCCAAGCACCAGCTCTCAAAGCTGCAGTGTTAAAAGGTGTGTGTCTGAAGCCATATGCATGTCTAGGACTCACATGTATTCAGTGACTGAAATCTTTTGCTCCCAATATATATAATTTGATTGATTTTCCCACTTTAACCCATTTATACCAATTATTTCCAGATCAATACAATTTCGTTTAAGTGGTTTCCTGCATGCCGTTCTTGACCTGTTTATTTGCTTTTGTCAAGATAATTTTGTGTGTTTTACTTACGTACAGGGACATCCTTGCACCCGTAAAACATGACACAAAAGGAACTGTAATGTAATCATGTGTGCTGTTACATCGGCAATGCTTTTCCCACCAGTATTTCAGTACTGCCCTGGGGTCCAGCATTTTCCAGCCTCCCATAATATGCCTTTTACATATGACTTGTATTCACTTCTGTTTTTGTTGCAATATTAAAAGTGAAACTTGACAAATAACTCCATGCCTGGCTTTATTCAGATACGGTTTGTAAAGAGTCATTATTGCAGGTGTACAGCCTTTTTAGCATTTGGGAAATCAGCACGGGTCGGAGTTCTGAAACATCCAGAGGGCACCAGGTTGGGGAAGGCTGCCGTAATGTGCAATCACTGATGGGAGGAGGCAGGATGGGACAGTGCAGAACAACAGAAGGAAGTGAGCTGCAGAATTAATGTCAGGAATAAAGGTAAAGGGACCCCTGACCATTAGGTCCAGTCATGACCAACTCTGGGGTTGCGGCGCTCATCTCGCTTTATTGGCCAAGGGAGCCGGCGTTTGTCCGCAGACAGCTTCCGGGTCATGTGGCCAACATGACTAAGCTGCTTCTGGCAAACCAGAGTAGCGCACGGAAACACCGTTTACCTTCCTGCCGGAGAGGTACCTATTTATCTACTAGCACTTTGATGTGCTTTCGAACTGCTAGGTTGGCAGAAGCAGGGACCGAACAATGGGAGCTCACCCTGTCGCGGGGATTCAAACCGCGACAGGTTTGAATCAAGTCCGAGGCTCTGTGGTTTAACCCACAGCGCCACCCGCATCCCTTCTTAAATTGGAATTCGGGAGGCAAGGAATGCCAGCACATGCACAAACCCACAGAACCAGGAGGGTTGAAAGAACAGTAGCTAAGGAATCCTTTTGTTCTTGCCTTTCTAGTAGTGTGGAAATCAAGATTTTGTTCCCCTGTTCCCCACCACCTCTTCTTCATTTGGGCTTGGCTCTTCTTAACTCTTGTTTTTAATTTGCTCCGTTTTTAATTCTCGCACGTGGGAAGAAAGGAGTGCAGCGCTTTCCGTCCCAAGAGCAATACCTGTATTTTCCTTTACGGGTTTGCTGTTTTCGACTCCAGAAAATTCTATCAAGGGCAACACAATGAGCTTAATTCTCCAATAATTAAAGACTGTTAGTTACAGGCTGCTCTAAATGTAGCAAGAGAACAAAAGCACCTTCAGCCAGCATTAATTCCATGGCTCCACTCCAATCAAAACGGAACAAAATTGCTGCGTTTTTGCTACAGTTATGTAACAGAGGAGGGCAACATAATTTAAAGGCGAACAGCCCTTAAGGCGTTCCCATCACGAATCCCTGCGTGCAGAAATAGGTCAGGCTCCTCATACCTAAGGGACTACTGTCTCCCGAATGTACCGCCCGAATGCATTGAGATATATTGCGGTGGTCTTGTTTGCCATTTTGTTGTTGTTGTTTGCAACTCCCTGCTATGAGAAATCTGCTTGCTCTTTTTCCTTATGGCCTTCCCATCCAAACTGTGGGCTTCCTGGATAGATATGGCCAGCCACTGGCTTGCTTCACGCACCAAATCTCTCTCTTAAAATCTGTATGGTGCACTCTACACAGAGTACTATTGACTTTTCCCCACCACAGATTAAGACCAGAAAAATCAACAGGTTAAAATACTCAGAATCTTTTTCTCTCTCTGTGTGTAGGTGCATTCTGCACTAGCTCAACAGTACTCCTGTCCACCACAGCCTAGGAATGATTTGGCACGAGCAGGTGGCACCAATACACAGTATCACATAATGTGCAATAAATCAAATAACCACGGGCAGATTAAGTTAGGAACACTCAACAGGTTAAAAAAGAAAGAAACCAAGAACACCTTTAAAGCATTCAAAACGTACCAATATGTAATATAGGCTGCACTCAGCACATGCTCAACGGCACAAGGACCAATACAAGCACATTAAATGGGGGAGCAATCCTCCCCCCATTTAATGTGCTTGTGTTTCCTTTGTTATTATGTTATACATTTTGTGTTTTTATACTGTAAACTGCCCTGTGATCCTTGGATTAGGGGGGCGGTTATACTGTAATCTTCATTATATACCTTTAGGAGCCAGGCAAAAAAGTTCCTTTTAACCAGGCACTTTGGTTGATTTGATTGGCATCCTATGCCCTTTGAAAATGTGGTGGCTTTTGGGGGGTGGGATATTGGGTTTATTGTTTTTATTTTATTATATAGTTTGTGGTTTTATATTTTGATTTTCTTCTGTGAACCACCCTGAGACCTCCAGGTATAGGGTGGGATGTGTGTATATTATTATTATTATTATTATTATTATTATTATTATTATTAATAAATATATAAAGTTGAATAGCAATAATATATAATACTTAATTATTTTTATTTATTTAAATTATGATTATTAAGTATATTATACATTTTTATTAATTACATTATATATATTATAATTATTAATTTAAATAAATAAAAATAGTTCAATAGTAATAATATATAATTATTTAATTACTTATTATTTATTTAAATTATTATTTATTATTATACATTTTTATGAATAATTATTATTATTAATGGATGAGAACGAACCACATAACAGCAGGAAGATTAAAGCCGCACGTTTTGATTTCAAAATAATAAAAGCAATAGTAAAGATACTGTACTCGAAATATACCGATGTGGAACGCAGGCTGCACTCTGCACATGCCCGAGGGCAGGCTTGCCCGCTTTCCCTTCCACCACGGCCTAAGAATAAACAGGCCCTCCCGGTCGCGCCGCAGCCCCGCCTCTGCGGCGTCACAGTCCTGGCCGCAGCAGCAGCAACAACAACAACAAGAACCGCGAGGACGAGGCCAAGGGCAGCGGCGGCAGCTAGAGCAGCCCCGCTCCGGGCGTCTTGGGCAGCGGGGCGGAGATGGCGCTTCGGCAGGCGCTGGGAAGGGGCGCGCGGCTGGGCCGGGGCCTGCTGTGGCGCTGGCTCGGAGGAGCGCCTCCCCCTCCTGCGCCGCCCAAGCCGGCCGCCTTTCTCGCCCGCCGCCCGCAGCAGCCGCCGCCGGCCCGCCCGGGCTTCCTGCGCGAGGCCGCGGCCCGGCTGGGCCTGACCGGCGGGCCTCCGTCGCCGGGCCTGCTGCTGTTCCGGCAAATGGCGCCGCGGGTCCCCCTCGGGCCCCGCCGCCTCGGGCTGGCCTTCGGCCTCGGGCTGGCGCTTCTAGAGCCGGCGCTGGCCGAGCAGAGGCAGGCGAGCGAGGCCTGTAAGGGCATCCAGGTAAGCGGGCTAGGCCTCGTTACCATGGCAACGGGGGGCGGCCTTCAGCATAGATTTGGGACGTTTATATTTCCATACCAACCCCGTCCCACACTTCCTTCCATAGAGTTTAAGGTGGTTGTTTGATTGGAAGTCGCTTTGGGCAAGAGAAAGCGACTAACAAATTTAGTAAATAACAGTAATAATGATTGCATTTATATGCCCCTCTTTTTCTCCGAGGAGCCTCCCCGTCTCTTCTTTTAATCCCAACAACCACCTTGTGGTGGGGTAGGTTAGGTTGAGAGGCAGTGTCTCCCCCATTGGGGTTTGTAGCTTGAAAAGGAATTTGAACCCATTCCTCCCAGATCCTTAAAGGTAAAGGGACCCATGACCATTAGTTCCAGTTGTGACCGACTCTGGGGTTGCGGCGCTCATCTCGCTTTATTGGCCAAGGGAGCCGGCGTAAAGCTTCCAGGTCATGTGGCCAGCATGGTGAACCAGAGCAGCGCATGGAAACGCCGTTAACCTTCCCACTGGAGTGGTACCTATTTATCTACTTGCACTTTGATGTGCTTTCGAACTGCTAGGTTGGCAGGAGCAGGGACCGAGCAACGGGAGCTCACCCCGTCGCGGGGATTCGAACCGCCGACCTTCTGATCAGCAAGTCCTAGGCTCTGTGGTTTAACCCAGATCCTTAGTCGGACACTAATCTCAGAGGGTTTTTTTGGGGGGGGGCCACAACTTCTAGTGTTTCTTTGTTGCTTTCTCCACACTGTGCATAATTTTATAAACTTCTATCATATGTCTCCTCTTACCTTTTCTCTAAGTTAAAAAAGTCCCCAAAGCTACCATATTTCCTCACAGGGGAGAGACTCCATCCTTTTGGTTGCCCTTTTTTGAACCGTTTCCGACTCCTACCTTTTTAAAGGTGAGGCAACTAGAACTGTACACAGTATTCCAAATGCGGCCACACTGTCTCTCCTCTCCTTCTGCAGGAGCTGCTTGGAGCCGACTGAAAAGCACCCTTATCATAAGCATAATATTATGATTTGTATTTTCTCTGTTGTTGTTGTTGTTTTTCCCCATCCAGACAATATTTATCCAGAGGAACAAACCTCAGAAAGAGCCCCTGGGCTTATTCCGCCAGCAAGGCTTCAAATTGGAAGAATATTCCATTGGACGATCTATTGGCAAAGGCTGCAGCGCAGCTGTGTATGAAGCAACAACCCCTTTTGCCATGCCTCACAAAGCAAGTTCGGAGCCAAAAGCTGATCATTTTGATCATTACGATGGTTCAGATGCCCAGACTGGAGGGGGAAAGCTCTGCCAAGTTGGTTGTTGGAGAACTGGCTTCCCGCTGGCAATCAAGATGATGTGGAACATTTCGGTGAGGATCCTGTGTTTGGTTTGCTCCTCAGGTGTTGAAGGAAAGTGCATTGAAACCTCAGTCCAGTGGAGCAGTAATTGATGTTAATCTAAAATATGTCCTGCAAGAGCCAGCTGTTGTTACCGTGGTGTCAATTATTTCTTCTGAAAAGTGCGATAGGTTTCTGGGGAGAAGAAAAACATAATGAACAGCTTGATTGGGAACAAAACAACAGTTCTGGCTGAGTAATGCAGCTCTCACAGTGAGCACAAGCAGCAGCATCAGAAAATGCAGTGTGGTAGTGGTGGAAATGGAGTGCTGCTTTTTCCTGCAGTGTTGGCTTTTAAAGAAATCCTTTAAAACCTTTGAGGAGCATAATGCCAAACCACAGTGGCCAATCCTTACTCTGCCTGTGCACTCTCTCTTCCATCCCTTCACCATACTTGTTCAGATTCACTCCCTTCGTTCTGTATTCTTGGCAAAACATACTTTGCCGTGTTACCCAAACCATGCAAACTAGTTTAGATAACCCAGCAAACAATGGTTTGACAAGAACTGGGGGAATTGCTGTCTTAAGGCTTTCTATATCAGGGTTCAGTAAATATGACTCTTAGAAGACATCTGAAAGCAGCCCTGTACAGGGAAGTTTTTAATGTTTGAGGTTTTATAGTGTTGTTAATATTTTGTTGAGAGCTACCCAGAGTGGCTGGGGAAACCCAGTCAGATGGGAAGGGTATAAATAGTAAAATTAAATTAAAATACGTGAGTAAGGGCAGTGGTCATAAGCATTCTAGCTCCAGTCCACCTGATGCCATTTCAGTCGTTGTTCTTTAGTTCCAGAATGACTGAAAGGCTCTTTCCTCTGACCTCCCTTGTAGTAAGTAAGTAGGTATTCCCTATGCATAAGGGATTGTGTGTTTGTGTGAACCTGAGGCTCATTCATGTTGTACCAGAAACCACAGTTTGGCATTACTCCTGGACCAACCCACTGAATGGGAATCGGCCGGCAGATTAACAGAAAATGAAAACAAATTAGGAACACGGTATCAAATATGACGCAGAAACAAACTTCAGTAAAACTCAACAGCTGGGGCACAAGTAGATGGGGAGTGGCCCATAAAGATAGGCAGGTGGGTTATAATTTCTTTCCCCTGCCCACAATGTAGTTTAAAAAGTAACAGTGTTTGAGAGATATTCTTGCGGGTAATGGGAACTGGAAATGCAGGTGTATTGAATTAAAATCGGCACAATTGTGTTCTGTTCACGTCTTATCCCACCAATGTGTCCCCGATGAGTTTATAACTTGTGTGAGTTCTGGGCCTCATTAAAAGCCCTCCTACAATTAATTTGAAAAGAAGCCTCCTAACAGCTCCCTTTCCAGCCATTATTTTCTATACTCTCTTCATTATTGTTATTACTGGGTTTCCTCATAGGGCTGTTTGGAGGATTGCAGAGATAATACATGTGACTCAAAGCCAAATATAATATCATTGTTGCCATTATTGGAACCCCCTTCTTTTTAAAAAGCTGTTTTATGCTTCAAGATATTTACCATACCTTGCTAAGGGATTTTTTAATTTTTAATTTTTGGAGAAAGGAGGGTGTTTCGGACCTTACGTATTTTGTAGTCCTATCTCCAGATTTCCCCACGTCCCTTCTTTTTATGATACACTGCATCAAAATGGGGATGGGTGGTGCAGAAATCGAATTCAGTACTTAATTCGTTCCGGAGGTCCATTCTTAACCTGAAACACCACTTTAGTTAATGGGGCCTCCCGCTGCCGCCACGCCGCTGGAGCACGATTTCTGTTCTCATCCTGAAGCAAAGTTCTTAACATGAGGTACTATTTCTGGGTTAGCGGAGTCTGTAACCTGAAGTGTATGTAACCTGAAGTGTCTTTAACCTGAGTTACCACTGTATTTAGATGAGGCAGCCTTCATTTGAACACAAGGAGAACAAATTATGTTTGGGCTCTTGCAGGCTGGTTCTTCAAGCGAAGGCATCCTCAACTCCATGTCACAGGAGCTTGTTCCAGCCAGCGGTTCAGCCTTATCTGGAGAATTTGGTGCGATCACTCCTCCCAGGTATAATTTGTTAATTTTGATGATGTAGGAGAGGGAGCTGAGGCTGATGGGAGCTGTAATCCAACACATCTCAAGGGCATCAGTTTGGGGAAGGCTGTTTTAAGTACATGCAACTTAATTAAGATTGTAAGCTGCTCAGGGTTCAGACCTATTCTTTTATTAACATGCACAGTAATAATGCACAGCAGTAACAGTCCTACTATCCCTATCCTTGACTCATTGTGTCCTTTCTTCTGTTGCTTTCCTCATTGTCTGTTTTATTTCATAAGCTCCTAGCAGCCAGAGACCTGTCTAGGTTGCCTTGGTAAATTGGAAAGGCAGTACAAACTCTTATGGTACCTTAGAAATAATAACAACAAAGTTTTGTGACACCTTAAAAACTAGCAAATTTATGGCATAAGCTTTTGTGAACTAGAGCCTACTTGTTATTGTGGTTGGGGATGGAATTGTAAGTTCAGAGGGAAATGAGGTGCAAAAAAAAGCAGACAGTGACAATTCATTTAGATCTCAGAATGCATGCAAAATAAGCAGAGCTTTAGTCTTTGAGTCTGAATTGAGACAATAGTTTCCTTTCACAGTACAGATGATAATTAACTCAACATTACCAAGTAGATTTCTTTGTCACCTCTCACTCATATTGTAAAGCGGTCACTGTGCTTATTTTGAATACATTCTAGCTCTGAGTTGGCACCCTCATGCTTCCAGCATTTCATTTCCTTCTGAGCTTATTGCTTACAGTTCACTCTCCTTTGTGTTCCTGTAACTGTTAATGGATCTAACAAAGCAGATTCAAGTCCACAAAAGCTTATATGCCATAATTTTAGTGTTTTAAGGTGCCACAGACTCTTAATCTTCATTGCAGCAAAAACAATAACATGGCTACCCTTGTGGAAATAATAGCAGTTGTTATGCAACAGTTAAAACATATTGTTTGTAGTTATAAATGGCACCTTCGCCCAGGAGCAAAATTCCAAAGCTGGTCAGGCAGCCCATGGGTCGTTTTTCCAGTATATGGTTGAAACTAGTCAGAGCTACAATGATGTTAAACAAAGATCAAGGCACAGCCCCCAGTAGCTCAGCCATGCTTTGGCTATAATAGGACAATTAATACATTTTTATAGAGAACGGAGCAATCAATGACAAATTATACCTGACCATGGAAGAGCTGGGTTCAATGCAGCCTCTACCCTGGCCCAGAAAACATAATGGGCTACTCTGCTGGGCTGTGAGAAAAACACACCACAAAGAGATTGCAAATTCATTTTGCTAATTAAATCTGCAATAGCAATGATAAGCGGTTGTAAGTGGTAACAAACTGTCTTGAAATAGGCAACTTGTCTTCGGGAAGAAGAGGCTGAAACCTCATCCAAATATAGTCCAGGTGCTTCGAGCATTCACATCACACGTCCCACTGCTTCCTGGTGCAACGGTGGACTATCCAGATGTTCTGCCCTCCACACTGAATCCCTCTGGAATAGGGCACAGCCGCACACTCTTCCTAGTGATGAAAAAGTAAGTTGGGAGAGAGCAGGGTGGTCAATGGATTGTATGGCTGCAAAGTGCATGTGGCTTCTAACCTTTATGGTTTGGGACAAAAGTTGATCCTCTGCTCCCAACAACAGTGATCGAGTGGCAAATGTGGTTTCCGAGCTCTCATCATCCCTGAGCATTGGCCATGCTGGCTGGGGCAAATGTGAGTTGGAGTCCAACAGCTGTTGGGCCACAGGATGGGGAAGGCTGGTATAGCTAAATGATTAGTTAAGATGCAAGGCTGGAAGATGAAAGGTAAGGAAGAGATTCCACTTCCACTATCACCCCAATACACTGGAGCTTTCTGCGGTTAATGCCTTCATCATTTTTAACCCACGAGAACTAGAAACTTGATTTTTTGAAAGAAAGAAAGAGAGAGAGAGAGAGAGAGAGAGAGAGAGAGAGAGAAAGAAAGAAAGAAAGAAAGAAAGAAAGAAAGAAAGAAAGAAAGAAAATGAGGAAAGCAGAATTAGCTCCACATCATGGCTAAAAAAGCCAATGCAATTCTGGGCTGCATCAATAGGAGTATAGCATCTAGATCAAGGGAAGTAATAGTGCCACTGTATTCTGCTCTGGTCAGACCTCACCTGGAGTACTGTGTCCAGTTCTGGGCACCACAGTTCAAGAAGGACACTGACAAACTGGAACGTGTCCAGAGGAGGGCAACCAAAATGGTCAAAGGCCTGGAAACGATGCCTTATGAGGAACGGCTAAGGGAGCTGGGCATGTTTAGCCTGGAGAAGAGGAGGTTAAGGGGTGATATGATAGCCATGTTCAAATATATAAAAGGATGTCATACAGAGGAGGGAGAAAGGTTGTTTTCTGCTGCTCCAGAGAAGCGGACACGGAGCAATGGATCCAAACTTCAAGAAAGAAGATTCCACCTAAACATTAGGAAGAACTTCCTGACAGTAAGAGCTGTTCGACAGTGGAAATTGCTGCCAAGGAGTGTGGTGGAGTCTCCTTCTTTGGAGGTCTTTAAGCAGAGGCTTGACAACCATATGACAGGAGTGCTCTGATGGTGTTTCCTGCTTGGCAGGGGGTTGGACTCGATGGCCCTTGTGGTCTATTCCAACTCTATGATTCTATGATTCTATGTCCAGTTCCATCAAGGATGAGGCCATGGTGCGGTTTGGAGGAAGCTGGACAGACAGTAAGCTGTAGCTGAAGCAGGGAGATGGGTCAAGAAGCAGAAAGCAAGGGTAGTCAGAAACAGGTCCTAGGAAAGAGACAGTGTGCTCTGAAGAGTGCAGGGTGCTAATTGCTCTGAACCATAATTTTCAGGAGTCATTTCAACAGTCTCTCTCTCTCTCTGTGTGTGTGTGTGTGTGTGTGTGTGTGTGTGTGTGTGAGAGAGAGAGAGAGAGAGAGAGAGAGAGAGAATGAGAATATTGGAGAAGGAAACAGCCCACACCTTTTAGCTAGTGAAGGTTGACTTAAATTTCTGGTGATGTGGTGCATTTATTTCAAATACCCCATAGCAAAGGCACCTTCCCGTGCTTTTTCAAGCTGTCTGCTGCTGTTGATGAGCAGCATCATGCCAGGGCCATCTCCCATTCCATGGTGACATTGTAAGGGAAAGTGGGCCCAGGAATTACTCAGGTCCTGCTTGCAGGCTTCCCATGGGTGCCTGGACTAGATGGGTCTTTGGCCTGATCCAACAGGGCTCCTCATGTTGCCCTATACCACCAAAGCAAGCAAGGAAGGAGTTGGATGGGAGGTGTCTGTGCTATCTAGGACTTCAAAAAACAAGCTCATTCCCACATGAAAATGATGTTTACTTCACTGCACCCCCAAGGATGAAGAGAAAGCAATGTTCCCATTTTCAGCCAGATTTAGGTGTTGCTTCTGGAACCCCACTAATGAGCTGCCACTTCCTTGCTTGCTCCATCCAGCTACCCATGTACACTGCGCCAGTATCTCTGCGACAGGAGCCCAGCTGCCCACCTGGGCACCATGATGATCCTGCAGCTACTGGAAGGAGTGGACCACCTCGTTCGACACGGAGTGGCTCACAGGGATTTGAAGTCTGACAACATCCTTGTTGAGTTTGACGCCGGTACGTAGTGCAGCTGCAAAACCTGTGCGTGTATCTGGTCAGGGAGAGGTGATGAGCAGGATCATTGTGCTTGGAATGGAGAAAACAGGCTGAGATCTTCAAAATGCTAGAGCAGTGCTAGAAAACCCTGGCATCAGGCTGCTCATCATCACATATCACCAACAAAAAGCACTTTGGATGGGGGAAACCCAGCTTCGAATCGCTGCTGGGGCACACACCTAGGCTACCTCACAGAGTTGGTGTGATGATCACGCAGAGAACTTGGTTGGAATGTCACTATACAAATGTCATAAACAATAATTGCAGGTGCCCTCTTGGAAGGGACACTCCCCATTATATGTCACACAGGATGCTCCAACTAATCTCGGTGCTGCTGTGTCACCCAGCTTAGAAGATGCATCTTTCTTGCACTTAGGTTATAGGCAACCCAGGAAGCTGCCTTTGCCTGAGTCAGACCATGTTTTGGGTCCATTGAGTTGAGCCAGTGTTGACTGGCGGTGACTCTTTCGGGTCTCCGGCCGAGAGAAATCTGTAAATGGAGATGCCAAAGATTGGACTAAAGACCGTTGACATGCGAAGCAAGTGCTCTGCCAGTCAGCGATGGCTGCTCCTAATGAGCCTAGGAAGCTGGCTTATAACGAGTCTTTCTCTTGCTCCATCTAGCTCTATATTGGCTGCACTGGCTGCCAGCAGCTCTTCAGCATTTCCCACTGGGGTCTCTCCCCAGGGATCCCTAGGATTGAACCTAGAACTTTTATGTATGTTTGCAGAGCAGATGCTCTACAACACAGCTAATACTTCGGTAACAAATGGGAAAAATGGAGTTGAGGAGAGCCCATTCTCTGTCCACTGAGGATCTGAAGCTGTCTCAGGCAGAAATGCACTAGGCTAGAGGATTCTTCCAGCCTTAAAATTAAATGTAGGCAAAGTGGTAATAGGAACACCCAAAATGGCATGACCATATTGGCTGCCCTCCAGCCCCGCAGTTGCAAATTGGTCGATGGGTTTTCTCCAACTCCCTGATTTTGGACATCTGTGGTTTGCCTGGCTGCACAGCAGCAATTTCTGAAGTCCCAAAGTACAAATAGGCTAATAACTCAGTGCTTCGGGATCGTTAAGCAGTAGGTAATCCCAGGGCAAATTCACGCTCTGCTAGAGCCCAGAGCGCTTTTGGCCCACTGTCAGTTTCTGGCGTTGGATATGTTAATTACTCTCAGCCTGACTGAGACTCAAGTGGGCAGGAGACAAGTAAGGGCAAGCAGAGCAGAGTAATTAACGTCCGCAGTAGAAGTACATGCTCTGTTCCCTCTGAGAAACGCTTTGTAGCACGACGTTGAGGCAGAAACTGCAGGGGAAAGATTTGGTCTTGAATGAAGGACGCAGCTAAAGGTGGCATCAGAAATCCATGCTTGTGCATCTCCTGATGCAGAGTGTGTGCTTACTTGGTGAAGGGTGGTGGTGAATTAGGTTGGGAGCGTAGAACTGGTTTGGTGGGGTTAACGCTCCCCACCTCAACCTTCATTATTTTTCCGTTTCTGAAAATACATCCTTTATCCCTACCCCCAAGAAACATTCCATGCATATGCAACTATCGCAGTCAAATATTATGTAGGTTTGTATAACAGTTTAGAGTTGATTATAACAGATAAGTGTCTTATGACCCCTTCCCAAACACTGCTATCAGAGAAATCATTCCAGATCGAGATCCTCCCCACCCCACATGGGCCACATTTGGCAGGTGGATGGATGCAGTTGCCCACCTGTCTATAATCTGATGCCACAGTGATGTCAGGTGGCCCATATTTGCATAGCGCTGTGCCTGGAAACCCCAATCAACTGCCAGCATTTGCAAAGCACTGTGTTTGTAGTGCTACTGATCAAACAACCTGTGTCTTAACCTGCTCCACATGTGGTGTCATATATGCCCCTTGAAGGAACCTTCCCGGGGTGGGGGCGGGTTTACAGCCTTAGAGACTTGCTTCTGCTATCCATTCTGAGTGCTAAGCTGGGCTGCTGTGTGTCTGTTCAGAATGTAACTCTGTTCCCTTGTCGTCATTTTCAGCTGGGTGTCCAGGGCTGGTCATCTCAGATTTTGGCTGCTGTTTGGCTGACAAAACAATTGGCTTGAAACTCCCTTTTACTAGCTGGTATGTGGATCGTGGGGGCAATGGCTGCCTCATGGCGCCAGAGGTAATTCTCTCTCTCTCTCTCTCTCTCTCTCTCTCTCCCTCTCTCCTTCTTTCCCTTGGTATAATAGGGTTTGTGTTTTGTAACTTTAGTCGCTACCTTCCACACATTCATGTACCTGCGGTTTATTTTGGCTTTATTTTATGACTGTATTTGTTTGACAGTGATCTATAATTGTATATGGGCTATGTACATAGCCACCATTTCCCATTTGATAACCCTATCCTTTGCAGAATCTTGTATAACCTTTCTTTTTGAAAATTTATTTGTATTTTGTTTTTTTAAGAACTACCCCAAATTAGATGTGCCTTTGCACTACACGTGCACATTTTTAAAATGCAGTTAGCTTCTGGGTTAGACTGATAATTAATGCGATCAAAGCGGGCATTGAGAAGCAATGTTATCCCTGCTGTGCCAAAAGTGGCATTTTACCAAAAAGTATATGCCAGCTTCAAATTCTCTCCTCCATGCCTCTCCTGATCCCATTAATTATCAGCTGCTCCTCTAAACAACAGCAAGTGATTTGCATTTAAAGAAACCTGCTCGGAGGCATTTAAAGTTTTGGCTGGCCTTGTCTGAAGGTTTGTTTTCCGTATCTGTTTCCTGACAGGTGGTCACTGCGACCCCCGGTCCCGGGGTTGTGATAGACTACAGCAAAGCAGATACATGGGCGGTTGGGGCAATGGCATATGAGATCCTTGGTGCCCATAACCCCTTCTACGGCAAAGGGGGAGCTGCTCTGGAAAGCAGGAGCTATCAAGATAAGGACCTGCCGCCCTTGCCAGATACTGTACCCCTGGAAGTGAGGAAGCTGGTTGGGTTGCTGCTTCGGAGGGATCCGGCCAAGGTGAGAGTTGCTCTCTTCTTTTCACAAGGGCTTCCACACCTCCCCACATCTTGCTTAGCAATGGCCATAGAAGCCCAAAACCAGTATCCTGCAAAAGACCCTCTGACTGAGACCAGAGGGCTGGGCTTCACCTGCCACCTTAGTACAGTCTTGGCAAATGGCTTTCATTGGACCAGCTGTGGCTGCTACAATAATAGAGGATATGGTGCTCCCAGGAATCTTTGTCAGGAAGAATGGGTAGCTGGCATGCTCTTATAAGTAAATACATATATGCTCCAATTTCATTTAAAAAATATCAAAGTGGTGTATGACAAGAAATGTCCGGGAGGTGGGGGGGGGTGAGGAGAGACAAAAATAAATATATACCCCACACTCACTCACTTACTCTCTCACACACACACACCAGAATCACAGATCACCATCTAAGAGTAGAAAAGATGTAGAAAAGGCAGCAGAGAAGGTTTTCAGCAAATGTCCAAAAGTTAACATTGAGAACACCCACTGAGTCTCTTTTGGAAGAACATCGTACAAGACTGGGGCCCAGGACACTGAAGGCTTGATTTAGTAATGGTATCAGATGAGTGCAAAGCTGACTATACATACCTTTCCCAGATCTTCTGAATTGTACACTTTTTAATTTTATTTTAAACAACTGGGAACTTAGGAAGCTGCCTGAGGCCAGGTCAGACTGTTTGTCTAGCTAGCCCAGCATGGCCTGTGTTCACACATCCTGATAAGCCAGGATTTGCTGGTTTACCATGGTTGATTGGGCTCAAACGGCATACACTAGCACCTTGCCTGTGTTTGAGTGCTTTCTACAATTCTCCCCCTTCCCCCAGAGAATGTACCTCATTCCAATGGGGAAGTTTGCAAACAGAAACCAGAGAAAGGCACACCAGAGGTGTTCGCCTGAAAGCAAACTCCGCCATTCCTTTGACTTTCCCCACCTCCTTTCCTATTTCAGAGGCTCTCTGCACGAGTTGCAGCCAACATCCTCCACCTGAGTCTCTGGGGTGGTGATACTCTCAGCCTGGAAGACCTGAGACCCGCCAAGATGGTTGGCTGGCTTCTTCACCAATCACTCGCCACCTTATTGACAGATCGCTTTGGAGATGGGAGCAAAGTCGAAACAACGCTGAAGAGGTGCTTTCTGGCAAACCTGGAGTATGAAGATCTCTTTGAGGCAGCCGCCCTGCTCCACTCTTGGAGGAGCATAGTGTCGTGATGGGCTCAGATCTGCTCACAGCTGTTGTTGACATTTCCTCTGATGTTCCACTAAAAGCATTTAAACTGGCTAAGCTACCTCTTCCTTGCAGGCCGAAAAAAAATACTGTAGGTAAGAAGCACTTTCTAGGGATTGGAGTGTTCTCATTGCAAAGGTAGATTGGGTTTGGTTCTGCTGAAAAAACCCCCAAACAAACCTGATGTGGTCATTGCATTTGGCCAGCAAAGAAATTTAGGTTGATTGTGTTGCTTTGAAAACAGAGTAACTGGCTGCAGTAGTTCCTTTTCAAGAATTGGGTCTCTGCTTCAAACATCTTAAGAGTCTCTGTTGAGAAGGGAGGCAGCATTGATGCAAAATAGTGCCCTCCAGATGTTTCAGAGGGAGTGTTTCAGATGGGAGTTGCCTTAGAAGGGGATGGCTCCTCTACCAGTTCCATGCACCCCAGCTGAAACGAAACCTTTATAGGATTGCTCTGCTGATCTTTCCTACTTAGTCCTTCTAGACTTCCCCAGCCAAAATGCATGTTAATTGTTCAGTTGTTAATTAATCAGTGAATGAGCACAACAAGGAAATAAAGAAACTATTCTAGAGCCAAAAAGATAAACATGTTTAATCTAAACAGGGCACCAATAATATCTGGCAAGGGTCCTTAAACAAAGAGACAAGGTTACTTGAACTGTAATGAGCACAAAACAAACTCATTTAGATAAGGTACCTGCTGGAAAGAACAGCTGTATATTTTGTGAATGCAGAGCTGAAGGGAAGCACATACTGGTCCCTGCCTAAGAGCCACTGGTGGCATGGATTTTGGTGTGTATTATAGTCTATTGTAAATCACCTTGAGATTGAAAGGCAGGATGTAATCTTCTAAATAATGGGTGGCTCACCTGCCGCCCCCCCCCCAGATGTTGGAGGCTGCAACATTTGGCCAGTGGTCAGGGGGTGTTGGGAGCTGCAGTCCAGCAACAGCTGGAGGCTGAGAAATGCCTAATCCTTGTTATAGAGAAGTGGGGGTGGGGAGACTGTGTGAAGGACAAGAATGTTATAGGGAAGCAAAGTGAAAGGAGGACTTTGAATCAGGAGGAGAAAGCACCTTCCATTTGGACTGGAGTACTTCCATATATTTTTTTGCTAATTGGGGTAGGAGCAGTGAAGGGTCATTTGCATTTAAGACATCCAAATATTCCAAGTTTGATTCTTTTCTTTATATTAAAAAAGAGAAGCATCACACCACTTTGATGATCCAGCTGGCAACAAAAAATTCTGTCCTTGCCTTGCCATCCCAATCACTTGCCTATCAAGGATTCCACATGTTTGCCTGCATAGAATTCCTGATCATTCATAGCGACCAAGCCAAGCAGTTTAAAGGATGCTTTAGTGACACAGGACTTCTAAAAAAATAGATATTTCAATACTAGAAAGGAAGTTGACGGAATCCCAGACCACTCCATGCAGTTGATTTCTAGAAAGCAACTATCACAGTGATCTACCACATATACTTTTGGAGACTATTTTAAGACTTAAAAACAGGGCGGGGGAGGGGGTTGGTTCACATGACATCTGCAACTATAAAACAATTCCCATGCTGGAGGGTGCAAGAGTCCCTGGATTATTCCCTCTTCATATGATGAACAAGAGGAGAGGTGAAAGGGCTGGGGTGGGGGAGAGAAGTATCTACCTAAGCTTTGGCATCACAGTAGGCTCACTGAGCCACCTCTCATTTGGCAGAATGAGTAAACGTTGATGTTCTACGGAATCACTTTGGGGTGTTAATAGCCTGTGTTGAGCATTCTTAATTACTTTAGTTAGACTTGGTAGCTGTTGAGGTGTTTGTTGCTAGTTGGGAGAGTGAATTAGGTTACCTATTGGTGAAATAAAGTGTGTGTTACTTAAACACTAAAAGAGTATTTGGACATTCTGTTTTTTGTTCTGCACCAGGGACCAAGTACCATTGTGGCACTAAGGGAGGGCAGATTCCAGGGAGTCTGTGACAGGCATCCCCATTCTGAACAGCCGTACTGAAGGAATGAGGGTCTCAAAAAGTTTGGATGGTTTCTTTCAGATACTAATTGTGCACCTGTATACATTCCACAACAAAAGCTGCACAAGCATACATTTTAATCCTTTGTAGCAAAAGCCAGCCTTCCGAGAATCTCAGCTTTTGTTTTAAAACAAGTCAAGTCCTTAAGGCCATTCCTCACTTAGACATGCAGGCATTCCTTTGTCTACATGATTAAAAGGTGCCCTCCCTTCTCTTTCTCTTTCCCTACTGAACGATTTGTTAATGTTTTAAGGGTCAAAACCCAGAACAGTGCCTGGCAGCAGAATGCTTAAAAGGACAGGAGCAGGAGATTTTGGGTTCAGTGCCAATGTCTTCCACCTCCCATCATTCCCATCACCTGCTGTCTGACCCTTTTGCCTGTTGTCCGCTGCCAGTTCGAAGTGCGAATCCCTCTTAACAAGGGACGGTTCAACATCAAGTCAGGGTTGGGAAGCTGCAGGCAGGATGGGGGCCAGTGGGTGTGATTGCCCTTTGTGGACCACTTCGTTTGCCCCCCCCCCTTTAAAAAAACAGGTTTTAAAAGGCTTTCTAATCTATGGCCTGATAGCTTCTCTCTAAAGAACAAGGGATTTATTTTTTTTTTAGCAGGAGGGAATTGGCTAGAAAGAAATAAAAGATCAGTAGAAGCTGGCATAACCTCACCCTCCTCTTCTTAAAAAAAAAGGTGGTTGTGTTGCTGAATTTAAACAGCTCTTAAGCAACTAAGGCTTTCTGGTGGAAATAAGTCATCAACTCTAAAACACACATATTGGGCATGGTAAAAATCACCGACTCTCCTCTCCACCCTGGGAAAAAACCCCTTTTGAAATCCCAACTGGAAATGAGACAGTGCCATCTAGTGAGAAAAAAGTTTCACTGGCTGCAGAGGCTTCTCAGACTTCTGTGTCTCATTTGTGCCCTTTGAACCCATCAAGGGAGGAGGCAGAGAGGCAGGCCCACTGGCTGTGCATGTTACGGGGGGAGTGTCTCTCCTGAACACCTTTAAAGCTACCAGCTGTATCCTGTCTTGGGGGCTTCAGCATGGAGATCTTCTGTTCCTTGGGGCGCAAAGCCCTGTTGCAGGGGAAGGCGTGTCAAAACAGCCTCGCCGTTGCCAAGCAGGTGTCCTGCAGAACATTCCTGACAGGCACATGTCGCTCTCAGCAGCTCAGCAGCAACAGCAGGGCTAACCCAGGCCGGCCTGGCTGCCTGCCCAGAACTCCCTGCGGTTCCTTCTTTGAAAGTTTCTACACCGGGAGTTTTCTCCCTCATCGCCTTCTCTCCGATGCCCGCTCCAATGTGCCACCCAGTGCGGAGTTCGTGGCCAGACCCGTGGGGGTCTGCTCCATGTTCAAGCTGCCCATCCAGAATTCAGCAGAGGGTCTGGACGTGGCGTTTGTGGGGGTCCCTCTTGACACGGGGACCTCCAACCGTCCTGGGGCCAGGTGAGTGGGTTTGCTTTGGGAAGGGAAGGGATTGAATGTTGCATCACAAACTAGGCTCTGGTGGAAGGAGGCCACACAGCAGTGCTGTCAGGGTAGGACTTTGGGGGGCAGTCACCCAGGGTTCCCCTAATCTGCAGAATGAGCAGGAGGGTCCCCCAAAGTGGCAGAACTATCACACATTTTGACGCATTTGCATGACCATCAAAAGGGGCGAGGTTTCATAAGACCCATTAAAAACCAGGAATTACCTAACTGCGTCAACAATCAAAGTTCAAAGTCCAGGCCTGGCTGAGAGTCTTAGCAGTGAAATGAAACAACCTTGGGGCTGTTTCTCCAAAATTCTCCTTGGAGTTTGAGCAACCTGGTCTCTGCGCTTTGGAAACAAAAGTGATGTGATTCATTGGGAAATCTACTGTTATGTGTGGGTTTGCTTTGGGAAGGGAAGGGATTGAATGTTGCATCACAAACTAGGCTCTGGTGGAAGGAGGCCACACAGCGGTGCTGTCAGGGTAGGACTTTGGGGGGCAGTCACCCAGGGTTCCCCTAATCTGCAGAATGAGCAGGAGGGTCCCCCAAAGTGGCAGAACTATCACACATTTTGACGCATTTGCATGACCATCAAACTTAGCAGTGAAATGAAACAACCTTGGGCTGTTTTCTCAAAATTCTCCTTGAGTTTGAGCAACCTGGTCCTCTGTGGCTTTGGAAACAAAAGTGATGTGATGGCATTGGGAAATCTACCTGTTATGTGTGGGGTTTTTCTGAAAACATGAAGACGTTGGCAACAGAGACTTACACATACAGCAATGTGTGTTAGGTGCCCAATGATGGGCCTCAAAAGTGAAATCGGGACTCATCTGTTAAAAAGAGTTTGCCCCAGAGGTATTTTTGAGCAGATCAAACCCCACCCTTCAATATCAAATTCTGATCCTCAAGCCTATTTGAAACTTATGCTTGAAATGGAATCAAACTGGCTTTCTTCTAATTTTCCTTAGTGCTTTCCTAATGTAAAATCAGAATTACAACAAAATGAAGTTATAAAACATAACATAGGAGCAGTACAGAGGTTGTATTTTCCAAATAAATACAGAGCAGATAATGTAGAAAAATAAAAGGAGCAAAACACATGGTGAAAGCCAAATTATTCAGTTTGGTGGGGGGAAGAGAATTTTGTTTATATAGATTGGACACATAAATAAAATCTCACCAAACAGCGCAGAAATGTTCCGGTTCTTCCTTACCCTTAGAAACGTGTAATTTGTGAGCTATTATCTCTGCAGTTGCCAGAGTCAGTCCACATGCTTTTGTACTACAATTAATCCTGTAGTGTCTTCCATTTCTGAGCCAAGTTAAGTTCTCACTGCAAGCAGGAAGAAGTTACTAGTTTGGAAAATCCTGCAAGTTCCTTAGTTTGGAAAATCCTGTTTGACATCCTGCAAGTTCAAAGGGGCAAGTTGCATGAATTGGCTCTCAACGGCAAGGACCATCTCCTGAAGTTGAGCCCTATGACAAGATAGGAGAAACCCAGCAAGAGCCCTTGGCGGATCTTCTGCCAGCTTCAGACCACGGGGAAGTCATATGTTCAACATTTCTCTGCAGCTGTGACAAATGAGGAACATTTTACACAGAGAAACAATGGTTCTTTGACCTGCATAGCTCAGGTGGTTAGCGTGTGGTGCTGAAAATGCCAAGGTTGCAGGTTCGAACCCCTCATACTCTTGTATTGCAGGGGGTTGGACTGGATGATCCTTAGGGTCCCTTCCAACTCTACAATTCTATGATTCTATATAATAGTTTGTTCCAGCATAGCTAAATTTCCCTTCAGCAAAAGGGATTATCTATGATTCTATATAACATATCCAAGTCTCCTGGGTATGATCTGAAATGTTTCCAGGCCACCTTGGGGTCCCTCTGACAATCACAGGCCGTTTCAGCCCAGGGGAGAGATCCATCCCCTCAGCCTTTCCAACTGGACATGTGCTTTTAGATCAGTTTCCCAGCTGGTATCTTGAATCCCTTTCAGCTGCCTTGGGATGCCTCCACCTGCCCAGGCCTCTTCAGAGATCTCATCCTGTAGCACCAATTTGGTTTGTTTCCCTCGGTGTGTGCCAAGAAAACTTAAGTGAGCTGGGGAAGGTCTCTTCCTCCCATTGCTGGCCTCGTTGTCCATGTGCATCTTTGGGATGTGCAAATGCTTGTGTCATTTGATCAGGAAATAAGGCAGAACAGCCAGATTCATTTTCGTCGGCCAATTGGTGCCAAAGAAGGATAGAACTTTTTTTATGTATGCTACGACAGCAGCAAGAATACTCATTGCAAAGTACTGGAAGACGCAAGATCTACCCACCCGGGAAGAATGGCAGATGAAGCTGATGGACTACATGGAGTTGGCGGAGATGACTGGCAGAATCCGAGACCAGGGAGAAGAGTTGGTGGAAGAAGATTGGGAAAAAATTAAAGTATATTTACAGAAATATTGTAAAATTAATGAATGTTAGAAGGATGCTGGAAAGAAGTTATATGGCATTAGTAGAAATGTTATCAAGAATTAGGTAAGAATAGATTGATTATGGGTAAAGGTGTAAAATTTAAGGCTAAATTGCGTTAAGATAAATTATGGAACTAAATTTGAGAAAGAGGGAAAGGACTTGCTGAAACAACTAATTGAACTAGAATACAAAAAGGGAGGTGAGAGGAAGTCAAGGAAATAAGAAAATGAAAGATAAGGACATGAAAATACTGGTTCTTCTTTCTTTTTTCTTCTTTAAATGTTTTTCTTTCTAAATGTTTTTGTTTTTTCTTTCAAAATGTTTTGTTGTTTCTTTTTATTGTATTTTTTCTTTTTTTATCTATTTTTGAAGCTTTGTAACCTTTTATTGTATGTTTTTCTTTTTTCTGGATTTGTTAAACCCTAATAAATATTTTTTTTTTTTAAAAAAAGAACAGCCAGATTCATTTTTCAGACAGTCACAAAACTCATCCAGGCTCCAAGCTGAGTGTGGAGTGGGGCCGCTGGCAGTGCTAGGTCTCGTCAGAAAGCCTAAAAGGGGCCCCTCAGTGTGGCTTTTTCATGGGGGCACCACCATTCTGTCTTGTGAAGGAAATGACCCAGAAGCCCAGTTCCAGAGCATCAGGGCTGCAAGCTTATCAGAGGCCTTAGGCAAAGGTGGGATAACTCAGTTTTCCAGGCCTATCTGGTCCTCAGGACCCCACCCCCTGGCCACACACCTCACAAGCCTTGCTCTGCACCCTCCTTGAGTGTTTGGACCCAGCTGAGATGTGTCCTTTCCCTCTGAGAAAACCCTCTGGCTTACCTGGATGGAGGACAGAGAGGGGGGGTGGGGGGTATTGTTACCAGAGGACTGGCCATTCTGTGTACCATTCCCCCTCTAATTCTAAGCCACATGCTCACATTTCTGTT